CAAAGTCAAAACGTGTATATATTTAAACATTTCTCAGTTTTAGCACTGGATACGTTGTCTTTGTAGTATTTTCAATTAAATAGAGTATAAATGATTTGTATATCATTTTTTTGGAAATGGGGTTGTGTGATATATATATACACATACACACACCATATATTTACATATAGCCACCCATTTAGCCTATTCTTCAGGGGGAAAAAATGAAAATATATTTAAAAAAAAAAAATAGAACATTGACCACATAAAGAGACTCCAAATTTAAGGGTGCCACACCGTAAAAAAGTGGTGGTGCATGTTTTTTTTTTCTTTTGCAACAAATCATCTGATTGAATTCAGTTAAAAAAGTGGTGGGCATCACTCCAGCAGGTCAAATACCCGCTCACACTGTCGCCCTGGCAGTCATGCGCAAATTTAATAAAAAAAAATACTTTGAAAATTGATAAGAAACCATTTTATCATATAAAAGTCTTCATCCATTACATGTCTAGGCATCTGTAACACTATAACAGTTGGTGATGGGGTCTAATCCCCTCCTATACATTTGCACTAACACTCACACCCTCACACACCTGTTTGTTACTTGTGTGCTGGCTGGAACACTGATTGCACAGCGCAGATGTGAAATTACCCAATTTGGGCCAATTTCCCCTTTTTTCCATGCTGTTATTGGCCATGTGAACAAAGTGGAGCACATATACATTCACATTCACATTCTCTCTCTCTCTCTCTCTCTCTCTCTCACGCACGCAGCCTGATCATTAATATGCTTTCCAGAGACGAAAATGGCAGGCTATTACCTATTGAATGGAGAAAGCAAGGAGACAAGATTGACAGGGTGTTTTTCATACACTGCGGGAGGACGACAAAAAAGAAAGGGGGGCTCATGAAGATGTGCAGGAGGGAGTGTGATGGAGGGGAAAAAAGATAAAGAATGAACAAGGAAGATAAATAGAGTGATAGTGGTTATAGATAGATAGGAGTTCTTCCTCTAAACCTCTCTCACTCTCTGTAGTCTAGTGTTTTCCCCTATACTGCACCACACACAGCCCAAACATGTCATTACTGTGGTCAGAGTGAGTAAAAGTGGAACACAAGACAAACTTTACAAGCTCCATCTTAACCAAAGAGAGTATGTGAGTGCATGTGTGTGTGTCTCTCACACAGCAGTGAGCTCCTGGAGGAATAACGCTGCAAACAGAGGCCTCAGATTAGCTTTACATAACACGAGTTCACTACTGCTTTAAAGTTCTCTTTTACTGACAGTCTTTTTGCTCACAAACTTGCAGAAGGCTGAGTCGCAGTAGTTTGGAGAGATGTCTCCATTCATTTCTGAGCCATTCTAAGTGACGTAAAAGAGCACTGCTGCTTTCAAAATCCATCCATCTACATCTCCGTTCTGCACCTGCCTCGTCCCACCGCCTTCTCATAAAGGAAACAGGACGCGCCTACCTTCATTAAACATACACTAATCTACTTTTAACGCATTCCTGTGTTAGCATAGCCTCCTAGCTCTGCCTCAATCTAGCACAACTAGGCAAAACTATCATGAAAGATTTTCCCCTTACAACTAATTAAGTTGATTAGCCAAGACAGTGAGTGTGTTTACATGCACTTAATAATCCGAAAACTGCAGAAAATCAGATTTTGTCAGTAATCTGATTGAGTTTACATGCACTTGAGTAATCAGATAATGGGGAAACTCCAGGTCTAAATGAATCAGACAGTAATTGGATTTCTTACAGAAGAAGACTTACAGAGTAAAACTTAAACTTCATGCCGCAGCTTTTTTTTTTAAAATATCGCGCCACTTTACCTGAAAATATGAACATACATCATCTAGAAGATTAAGAATATTTAAATCCTTTATTTCGTATTTGGTTTTTAGCGCCGCTCCAAAAGTATTTTGCTTCCATCTCGTGGAATCGCTGCTTACTTATTTCTGGTACCTCTGTCGGTTCTCGCGCGTCCGCAGACTGAGAAATCCAAAAGAAATCAGAGTAAGAGTTTGCATGCACTGAGAGATCTGATTACTGAGCTACAATCCAGCTCTCTTTATCAGATTTCTTTATCTAGATCAGGGTATGGTGTTTACATGACCATTTGAAGAATCGGATAACCGCAGAAATCTGATTATGATTGGATTACTGAGTGCATGTAAACGCACTTACTGTTGGTGTTTGATGCATTGTGCAAGCTGCATGTCGAAACGATCTCACAACTGAAGCAAAAGGGTGTCCGTTGAGAAACACTAAACAGACTTGCTTATGTGGTGTTTGAGACTTTAAGATGTATCGTTATCTACAAAAATGGACAAAACTGCACTACTCGCTAAAAACAGAAGTAGCAGCCACCTTGTAGCCTGAATTTTGTCTGTACTTGTTTCTTGTTTTTAACCGTTTTTCTCAATTTAGTGGTGGCCAATAGGCCCTTTTCATAAAAAAAACTTAGTGTGTAAATGTTGGGTAAAACAAGTTACGCTACTGCATTATAGACAGTTATTAACCTCAGAAATACAGGCGTTCATATCACTTCAGCTCACCACAGAAAGGGGTCTCACTTTATCTTTGTCATAGTTGCCAAGATTGGAATTCAAGGATGTGTTCAGAATGTTTGGAGAACCAAACACACAACAATGTGGCAGTCTGAACTAAATAAAGGATATAATAAAAGATATAAATGATTAGTGGAAAAATTCCTTCCCAGCTATTGGAATTCAGTAGCATCAGCTATTGTCTTCAGCATGATAAATCAATGGGTGAAAAAAACTAAAACGCTAGATAAGCCATGTTAGAGATGCTGAAACAGCTCACTAACAATAAACTAGTTGACAAAAAAGCTAAACGTGCACACATGCCAGCAGGAGGGTGCACCGGGTCGTCAATGTCCGTAATGCCACTGTAGCTGTTTTCCACAAACATCGAATGAACATCAACTCCTCGCTGAGCTCTCGCTTTCCCAGATGCCAACAATTTTTGAGGGAGAAAATGAAAACTGTTCCTCTGAAAGTGGCTGTAGCAGCAACTTTCAAGCGCATTAATGTTGATCAGCAGCGGCAAAATGCTGACACGGGTTCTTTTCCTCAGTATGACAAAGTTTATTCCTTTGTTAAGTGCACGGTCTCATTTTTCCTCTCCTCATGGTCGGCTGACGAACCTCTGAGACTGAGCTAAGTTTGTTTTCGCTTCAAACTTCAAGCTGTACATGCTCTACTCATCATTATTATTGTTGTTACCCTTTTTCCCTTTTTTTACAGTTTGAAAATGACCTTTACATTGTGTTAAAATTTCAACATGAATGGAGAAACAGCTCCAAAATTACTGTTACTTGTTCCCCTAACTTCCATTCAAAGTTAGGGTTTTTTCATCCTCCTGTAAAGGTGCCAATTTGGAGATACAAGGTTTCATCATAGGAGTGATGATATTCTTTAAAGCACCACCGCCTTTTTCAACACAGCTCAGCGTGCTTCAATGAGAAGATTAACTGCTAATTCTGTAATGTCAGCAGGGCTGCTGGTTTGGTTCTATAGTTTCCAGCCAAGAAATCTTTCAAAATCCACCAAAATTCATCAAAAAACAGCCCAAATCGTGACACATTAAAAAGAGTTGAATGTCAGTATTTCATCTATAATACCAAGTAATACATAAACAATAAAGCACTCAAACCAGGATGTCATAAAGAGTCAAAAACCACACAAGTCTATTAGAAACAACATAAGGTAAATGTAGGGTTTTTGCATGCAGTTTCAACAATGCTAATTGGAAGCTTCCATTACTTCTTAGCTACATTAGCCTTGTAGCTCTGGTGCCCAACTAAAGAAGAAAAGTTCAGACACTAAACATGGCTGGACTGATTGACTAAATTAGGAGGAAAGGGAACACTGCATAATTTTAGTTTTGGCCAAACTAGAGCTCTAAGTGTTTTCGCATGTACTCTGGATGTCCTTGCCAGTGGGCGTGTGTGTAATGTGTTTGCTGTGGGTGCTGATGAGGCACTGATCCGTACAACACTACACCGACCCCAGCACAGCCCACTGTACAAACCTCAGGCCTATTCTCTGTCTCATTCTCCCCCCTCTCATTATAACTCACTTGCATATTGTGAACTCAGTAAAGTTAAAGTTCCATGGTACAACATGCACATATGTTGTCATTTTAATTTATATACTTTTTTCTCCCAAAGCTAGTCCAGGGGTCAGCAACATGCAGCTCTTTTACTGCCCTGTTGCGAATCCACAGCAGAATTAGATTTTTACGTAAATAATAAAAAAATAATCCTCCTTTGTAGTAAAATAAAGCTCTGCTGGTCGTTCTAACACAGTTCTAACAATAAATGGTCTTAAACGCTGGAGTTAATATATAACTGCTAATTCACTCTTTAACCCTGAAGGCTGGCACGCAGACTGCTGGTGACCATAGCAGCTAAGACAACAATCTGGCCTAGCTAGTGGCTAACAAAACGGCATAGGGCAAGATTTAAGACGATCGTCGATGATTTGGAGATGAATGGACTTTTTGCATTTATAAGCACTCTAGCAAGTTTCCTGATACATTTAATCTGCAACGAGAAACTGTCAAACACTAAAAGGTCACGAAGCTGAAGTCAGCTTCTCATTCGCCAGCTTCTTGTTTGAATTTTCTTGTTCCACCTAAATAGTGCAGCAGTTACATTCTGGCACCTCAGGCAGCATTTACTGCCAGAGATGCGAGAAAAGCAGATATACCTGGGCCACGGCTCAAAGCAGAGCAAAGTAAGTCTGTGTTTTCGTTTGTATTTTTTAGTCTACACTAGTATATAGCACATAATGTAACACATTTACAGACAAGATGGTAAAGCATTACTTCAATAAAACAGACATGAAATGTTGTGGCTCCCAAGATGGTTTGGTTTTTGTTGACAGGACAAAATGGCTCTTCTTAACGTTTGAGTTGCCGACTCCTGCTTTAGGTGGACCAACTTGCACACTCTACAGTTCTCGATTAAAATACACTTATTACTTATACAGTAAAAGTTAATTTATTTCATAATATACAGGAACATGAAAAGTACACCCACCCAGACATCAACAGACATGAAAATAGACAGTAGCAAGAAATACATTCACAGCACCCTTCAAGAGTCAAGGGTCAAAGGTCATTCTTGGCTGTTTGCTCTAAGGGAAGAGTTCACACGTTCATCAACCACCGGTTTGTTATAGTGTCAGGCATTCAGACACACATTCAGCAAGAAGTAACAACACTAACAGGCTAGTATAGTGATTAAATGAAGAGGATTGGTGACGACTGCTATAGCCTATCAACCTCAGAGAGACATGGGCACTATTCAAACAGAATTAGTTTTACAGCAGCTTTTACCAGCTGCAAAATGAACTGTAGAAATAACCCCTTTTCAAACAGATATGTTGGTAAATATTTCATCCTATCCTGCAGGAAAAGAAGTTGCACTTCACTGCATTTTTGTAGGGGAGTGGTACACTGGTACACGGCATATATCCACCTCTGAGGACACCGATTTACCATAAACCCTATTCAGATGGGATTAAATGAACATGGGGTCCTGGGGTAATTTCCTCTTTTACAGGTGCTGCTCTGTGATTTTATTGCTGTCTGGATCAGCCATGGCAGTGTTTCTCTCCCTGCTCCATTGAGAAAATTACAGGCCGAATTACCTACCATTTTTCACCAAACTCGGTGGCGTTCTACTCATTTTTGACCTGTCCTTACACACTGTCACATGTTTTTCCAGGCCTCACATTGGGGGAAAAATGTTTTGACCTTTGCTACTCTCTGTATATGGTCTCCTAGTGTGTGACTCAGAGACCTTCCCTCAAATATTGAACACTTTCTGAACTGCGAAACAAAAAAACTATACTTTTGGGGAATCACCCAACCATTTTCTCTGTCTGGGTGGCAAAACTTTCCACTATCTGGGAGAGCATTATCAGGAAAAGATGCACGATATGAAGGTTTTTAGAAAGTACTGACTAGTTCACTGTAAGTTTCTTAAATTCTGATCAAATAAAACAGAACGTACTAGAAAGTTGCTTGTCCTGACAAACCCCTGATAAACTAACCCAGCCCGAATAGGGCTTCTAACTCACCCTACAAAATACCAAGATACTGAGCTGGGAATCTCTTACAAAGCACAGTATACATCCCTCATCCAGACACCACTACAAAGCTGAAAAACTCATCCTGTCCAAATGGCACTACACATTGAAAATTTCCATTTTGGAGGTCTTTATAATAAAATATTGCACAACAGGGACACCTAATGGTCAAAGTGAAGTAATACAGTAAAAACAAGAGATGATACAAAGCTTCATGCTTAGCATCTTACTATGCCAAAGTAGCTGGAGTGGTATCAGTGCTGTCACAGCTTAATGTCATCATCTCTCAGACTGAGCCAGAGCTGTGTGAGTGGACACACTCACTCTAGGTCCAGGTCAAGGAAGCGGCTGGACACGTACTCAGTAAACTCAAACTCTTCCACAGCAAACTCCACCTCCTTCCACTGCTTGGCTGTGCGGTTGCCCTGAGGAGTCTTCATTGAAAAACTTTTTATTTTTAGGCAGGGCAGTACCACCACCTTTCTTAATTTGACCTCGAACCCCCACTCCTGATAGAGAGACAAACGAGAAAAAGAAAGAAAAAGAGGACAATCGGTCATGTGTCTTTGTGATCTACTGGGTCATATAATATGCATAAGCAAATTAATCTTTACACTTAAAAATGTCATTTAATCAGAAACACCCAACATGTGTGTGCATTTTGTAGGATTACAGTTATTATTGCAGACCATCTGTTGTACAATTGATCAGACACCCTCCACCCTTTCCATTAATGGACAGAGACCACCACTGGACCACCTCTAACCAAATATTATTTGATACATACAGCATAGCAGTGGCATATTATTGGGTGCTGAACTGGTATCAGATAGTCTGTAACCGCAAACCTACAAAGTGCGCCTAGTAGGCCTCTGAAGTCGTGTCGTCATTCTGTAGTTGGCATCAGGCTCATATTAAGAATTCAGTCTAATGTTTGAGTTGCTAGTGTTGGTATATAACTGTGTTTATGTTTAATAGTAGATTTACTTTCACGCGACCACAGGGTGCAACGGCTGAGATTTCCAAAAACAGCACTGATTTACCCCTATAGAGGAAAACTGCTCAGACGTAAAGTTTCTAATATGATCATGACGCCAACTAGAGGATGATGACACAACTTCAGAGGTCTACAAACTGGCAACTCAGTGTGTGTTGGTTCACACCCATGCACATACACAAACACAAACATTACCAGTCCACAGGCAGCACAGCTGATGACACGACCAGGCTCCCAGTCTTCAAACATCCGGTCTATATGAACCTGCCCTCCTACCTGATAGTAATTTCTGTAAAACAGACAAACGCGGTCAGTCTTACAGTCATGAGTTATGAAGCTGGTGTAAGCTTATATCTCACAAATTAGCCCTGGGTGAGCTGCATGCCTAAATGTGCCTCAAACCACAGAGTTGTTAATAATCTCAAATAGACTTGTATGTGTGCTTTTTGACACTATATGACATATTGTTATAAAAAGTGTTATTACACACCCTGTAACCTAAGAACAGCTCAGCCAGTTTGCACTAAAGTCCCTGTATTTACTGAATAATAAGGCCTAGTATGTAATAAGCCTGGGATTTTAAGGTGGGTAAAACAGAATTCCACCTTATTTCCCCCCCAAAGTTTCTGTATAATTCAATGCTTGTAAACAAGGTAATTAAGAGTGGTTTTATGTGAAATTGTTTATTGTAGAGAAACTTACTGATTTCTTTACAGTGGTGATGATGGGAGCTAGGGGTTGTGATGTCTATACAAATACAGCCATTTTATTTTGATCAAAAATGACCAGTAAACCTACATGTGTCTTCTGATGATAATGGTGAACAGTTACACAAAAAAACCCTCTTTGCCATAAATAGATTACCAAAAATCTTTTAAGGGCCAACATATATAGGCACTGCAAAATAATATGTCAGGGATCAGGTAATGTTTTCGTAATCAGTAGGTGTAATAACTTTCCGTGAGGAAAGTCCTCAGATGTACTAGAACTGCCTATTTCACATCAAAGCACTCTGAATGACTTTGTGTAAATTCTAATGATTTAGAGAATTTACTGGAATTCCCCTTTCCCTTAGTGAGGCTGATGAGGGAACGACTCACTTGAAGTCAGGGTTGATGTTCACGTGTTGTGAGTTGTTTACGACTCTCATGTCGTCTCCATGGGCGACAGGAGTGAAGCAGCTTCTGCAGACGAACTGCACCTGGGATGGATTGTACCGCTTTTTCTTCTCCTCTCTCCGCCTGCAGGTTAGAATCCTCTCCATCACGTCAGCCCTCTGCAGCGCGTTCACCTGCCACCAGCACAGCATGTTAAGAGGGTCACAAAGGAGATGCCACCCAACCCCAAGGATCACAGTAGTACCACTGTCATGTGTGGTGTATATTTCCACCATACAGTAATATATCATGAATTGTGACAGTTATGAAGATGATGTTAGACAGAATGCTGAAAATGTCAAGGTAAACAATACCTAAGACTTTAAAATGTGCATTTAGTCATTTCATACAGTAATGTAGGCTAAATGATCATTTCAGACTAAAAAGACATCCTGTTGGTGGTCATCTGTCTGTGGTTTGGGGCAAGTAAATGAGTGTGTGTGTGTGTGTGTGTGTGTGTGTGTGTGTATGTATATATATACACATATATATATATATATATATATATATATATATATATATATATATATATATATATATAAAGTGTAAGTATAATGCTAACTAGTGGAGAACAAAGTAAAATAAGCAACCAAAAAGATCTGAGATATGAAAGTATAAATCAATGTGGGCTCACTATTTGGCAAGCAATGCCACTGTTTCCTGTTTTAAAGTGTTTATGCCCTAAGTAATATAATTTATAAAGGTAGTACCCTTAACACTAACACTAAGTTTCAACTTAAAGCCTAAACTAAATGAAAGCCTAAACTAAACTCCCCCCTTCAAAACCGAGACAGTTTCACGACTTCCACGCTGTTGACTGCATCTTAGTAGTCACGTGTCCATGTTTTTTCATTTACTTGTTTATTTATTTTGAAAGTTCTGATAGATTAATTGTGCAGAACTATTTCCGAGCCCCAATAAAATGCAGATAACAGTTCTAACGTTTTTTTTTTTTAAATAACTAATGTAATTAGTAATTGTACTGAATGTATTTTTTTCAAAATACATGGGGGCAAGGGGCAAAACACCCATCACGCCACATTTCAACAACTAGACTGGCTGCTGCCCTGCAAAAGTTCATTTACCATTTAAACCAAAATTAAGTGACTGTACTTTCATTAGTTTGTGTTACATTAACTTGTTCCTGCCAATCTATTCTTCACCAAAAAAAAAAAAACTGGTGGTTGAGGGCCCCCTAGTGGGCCCTGGGCACATGGCCAGCAATTTATCCCCGCCTTTATCCCAAATCAGCCATGTTCAGTGTCTGATATTTGCTTCTTTAGTTTTGCACTTGATGTGTGAATCTAATGTAGTTGACGAGCAACTTGCAGCCACCAGTTTAGCACTGTGCAAACTGTATGTCTAGATCATCATACATGCTTCAGACAACATCTATGCCTATTTGAGATTCCTTAACTCTATGCAGTTTAAGTCAAGCCTATGATGCGGTTTGCATGGTGCAAACCAGCTGGCTATAAACTTGTTATACTGCATTAAACTCACAGCTCTATTGCAAAACTAAAGAAGCAGCCAACACGTCTCGGCTGAATGGGGCAGGAAGAAAACTGTGGGGTAGAGAAAGAATTGTGTGAATCTGATTTTTGGCCAAACCATTTCTTTAACACAACCTAAACAGACCTTCCTGCGGAACTCTTCAGGGGACATGCGTTGTACTTCCGCGACCGCTCTTTCGGTCAGCTCCTCCAGGTACTCGTTGGTCTTTTCCCTTCGCATCTCCCGCCCACCTGCCTGCGCCACCACTGAATACACACTGTCCTGGGCCCGGGCCCGCCCGCTGGCCTGCTGCTGAGCGATCTCATTGGTCAGCAGCCCATAACGCACCACCACGTTACATTCTGGAATGTCAAGGCCTTCTTCAGCCACACTGGTGGAGATGAGGAGGTTGAGGTCTCCGACTCTGAATCTACAAATAGTTTCTCTTTGACCGCTCTACAGAAAGAAATAAACACAGAAGCACATAATTTGTTGTTTTCACATTGTTTAAATACAAAATAAAAACCATCTAAAAGTACTGCTTCGCACCTAGTTTATGATATTATAGTCTACACTGTTCAAGTTACTACTAAATGAAACAATTATTAATAAGACAGATGATTGCAAACCAATCATCTTACTTTGGACACAGTAGTGAATTCCTCCTTTATTTTCTTTAAAACTACAGACTTGTTTGACTATCATACTAATTTGGTCTCTAAGCAGGATGTTATTGTGCACTGAAAGAGTTCTATAAAACAATTTTGGCTGAGTTAGTAAGGGTCCTACCTGTGTCATGTGATTGGCACCATTGCCAGCTCCAGTGAGGATGGCAGCGCGGATGTCGGCACGCTGCAGTGCTGGGTTGGCACGTACCCAGTCGTACAGGCAGCGTGTGCCCTCTCTGGTTTTGGAGAAGAGGATGCCACGCGAGTTTCTGTCCTGAAACTGTTCCAGCAGGGTGCGCTGCAGCTGGACCAGCTTGGGGTTCTCGTTTCGAGCATCTGAAGCCAACAGCCTCAGCTCTACTTGGTTCTCTGTGTGAGGAGCAACATCATCATTACTGTAATGATCATTAGGAACAGCAGCATCACTGTCAGCGGAGCTAAAAGAGTGTCTTCGAAATACCACGACCCCCTAATTAACCTCTTGGACCCCCTCGATGTCTCTGAAAATAAAGTATTATGACATAATGCTGTCCGTGAGAGAAAATGTTGCCTTGAAGGGGAGAGTTTATTGGCAATTGCTGATCGGTGGAACAACTGTTCAAAGTCAACTCCCGCCCTCGCACTTTTGTCCTGCCACCCTGCCAAAATTCTGTGCCACCCCTTTGCTTCCCCCATAGTAGAATTTTCTAGAACTGCCACTGTGGGGAAGACCGCATTACCAAACTAGAAAAGAACATTTCCAGAAGAGGAATTGTTAAACCAAACATTTTGTTTCCAATGAAGCTAGCATCAGTGCTGCCATGGCGAGTGGTTTAGCAGCCTGCAAACACTGGAGTAGCCAGCCAACATGGGACCCCCTGAATTCCAGGAGGTATTTAACACACTGCTAGATGGCATGATGCGCGTATGCCATTGCTCTGCCAAAAGTAATAGCATCAGCTTCATTGTTAATGTTACCATTTAGCACAGTCAACTATGGGTTAGCACTATTGTAACTAACTACTATTATAAACAGAACTGTTTTCTAGCTAATGTAATAGCTTACTCTTTAACCAGACACAGAACTTTAACCAGTTACATACACCAAAAACACCCACTAAGCAAAATGAGACTTCTCTTTTAAAATCTCATAATCAGGTCCATAACTATTAATATTTTAAGATCTATGACAATGTCCACAACAATCAGTAAAAGCTACTTTTTCACCAGCACTGGAAGTTCATACCTTCAAAGAGTCCAGAGAGGAAAATGTCAGTTGCGTCCATTCTGTTTTCGCTCTTTGTGCGGTAGAAGTCCTGCAGAAGCCGCAGGGCGTCCACCATGCGCACGGTGTCGTTGATGAGAAGGGCGTCATTGTATTTTCTCAGGTGTAAGGCACACTGAGCCAACAGCCTGTTCTCCTCCCGAACACCTGAGAACACCACACACACACACACACACACACACACACACACACACACACACACACACACACACACACACACAAAATTTCTTCAACACAGGTAAAAAAAAAACAAAAAAAAACCTTGTGTTGTCCAACTGCTTGGAAAGTTATGTTACTTAGTTAAGTTAATTAGTGCAGTCTATGAGCAGACAGTCACTAGATTGGCAAGAAGAATTATTTCTGATCCGGATCAGGTTCTTTTCCCAAAGTATCAGCTTCTTCCTTCAGGCAGGACATTCAGAACGCCATTGTGTAGATTATATAGGTTTAGAAGTTCATTTGTACCTACATCCATCATGATTCTTAATTCTTTTAGCAATGCTGTGTTTTTTTTGTTTTGTTTTTCTCCATGGTATGTTATTATTGTTGTTAATCAGGGGGTGAGGGTGTATGTCCAGTGTATGTGTACATCTGGTGGTTCATGATATGCAGTCTTGGGTTGCCTAAGAAAAATTCCCCTTGGTGGGAAAATAAAGTCAATCTAATCTAAATCTATTCTAATCACACCTGAGACAATTACCTCTTTTTACCCTGTTACTCCTTTCACAACAATAATGTGCGTAAGGCAGAGTCTGCTTTTAACTGACCTCAGTAATTTTGAGCTGACCTCTCAGTAACAGGTGGTCTACTTAAAAAAAAACAAAAAACTGTCAGAAATTTAGAGACTCCTTTCAACCTTAATGACCCATATGTGAGCCCACAGTTCAGCTCCTCATAACTACAGTAGTAAGATATTAATTTGTTAGTAAATAATTCATAACATTACTGAGACGTATGTCTTGAGACATATTAGTGTGAAGTCTTAAGCCTGCGCAATGCAAATGCATCAAAGATTAACACAGACCTTTCTTCTCCAGTTCCACCACATCATTTTCATACTCCTGAGTGCCCATCTCGCGAAAAGTGACGTCTGACGCCATGTACCCATGGATCATCCTCATCATCTCCTTCAGATGGTCCCCAAATGGGTCCTGAGAATGAGTAAGACACCAACACACATCAAAATTCTGAGCAGAAATGTTCCAACATTATGTTAAAAGAAACATTTATGACAAATACATTAAACAGGGCTGCACTAAATTGCCCAAAAAATGGCATTTACAACTCAGACAGATGCATGAAAGAGGAACTTACGAAAAGCCGGGTATCCACAATGTCGTACTTCTTTATGGGTCTGGGAACAACCACTCTAAGCTCTGGCACATAGTTTTTTGTGGATACAATAACAGAGTCCAGATTCGCACAGATCTGTATGAGAAAGCAGAGATCAAATCAGTAATAAACTGACTATTGTAATGTGTTGATGAACTCAGGGGAGAGTGACGAGAGTACGAAGCCAATCACGGATCATTCAAGACTGTATATGTTTCCTGTAAAGGAATTCTCCAGTGTTTTTCAACCTAATCTCTATCTCTATCTGTACCATGCCATCAGTTAATACAGGCAATAGTTCTGACAGGTTTCTCTGCAGTAAGAATGTTGAATATAAACACATTTATAACAGAGGCCAAGCAGAGATTGCTTTTGTTACTGTCTTTGACAAGATGGATAAATGTAAATGAGCTCTGATCTGATTGACTGGGCCTGTATTGTGCCTAATTTAAATGATCATTCCTTATAACAGCTTAAATAAGTGGGGCTACACTGCTGTAAGATGAACGGTGCCACGAAAAACTATTTAAAACCCCCTTTGATTTCTGCAATTTTTTTGCATATTTGTGACATTATAATTTTCCTTGTCATCTCTTCCACAATGTCTTTTGATTGCAGCATAGTGCGCGGCTTGTCGAGAGCCTTTATTCTTCTATTTAAGTGATGTTTACATTCAACAGGGCTGGCAGTTATCAAGCCAGGGAGTTTTATTGATCTCAAGCATTAACTTAATTTGGTTAACTGGTTTACTGGGTGATTAAGGGACTGATTACTTTTTCACATAGGGTCAGTCAGTGCTGGATAAATTTCCTTCTACAATAAATGATCATTTTAAAACTGTATATATGCAAAAACTTCAATCAAAATGGGCTGACTAGGACGAGGGTATAAATGGTACATTTTGCAAATCTAACAATGTTTACATACAATATCAAACTCTTTTTGCAAAAAAAAAGAAAGCAAAATATGTTTTACATGATACGGCCCCTTAAAGTTAAGTAAAGTTAATGCTTATTTATTTGCTTTTTTTGTATGTTTTTTCTGTTGTTTATTTCTACAGGTTGGTACAATGGAAAATGCTCATTCATTCCATCATCCTTGACGCAAGACCATTTCAAAACATTTGTCCCACACTACTACAGAAACATACCTGTAGCACATGGTTGACGGCTCCCTCCTGTGTCTTGGCTCCGCCGGTGCCTGGTGAGGCAGTGAGGCCCAGAATCTGAGGCAGATTCCTCGCTCCCTCCATCTTCCCCTTCACATAACGCGCCATGATCTTATTATACACTGCATCCTTATGAGTGTGGTGGCACTCGTCTATGATTAGCAGTGTGAAGTCTGAATACAGGGAACAGAGCACAAAGACACAAAGCTAGTATAATAAACATAACATGAGATGCTCTGCTGAAGGAAGTAAAAGTCACTATACTGCACAATGTTGTAGCTTGGAAATTGTATGGGGGGAAAAAACTGTTAGATAATTATTCTTTTTAATTTTATTTGTTTAATATTTCTGCAGATTTATATATAAACAAAAAAAGTATGTGTCATTCATTTTTACATCATTATTTTCTGCTTTTCTTTATCCCTTAGAATTAAACAGACTGTGTTTTTACTGTGCCTTTCAGACTGAACACCCAGTCAGTCCACATGTTTTGATGATTTTCTAAGTGAAAATAAGTTATCACATCCTCTACAGACGACACACTTAAATAAGGCCTTTTTCTGCAAATTTAAAAGCATATGTTTAACATATTAAAGAAAAAAAAACAAAATATTAAGTGTGCCATAACTTTTGCACAGACCACATTTTACGTTTTATTTTTTTCCCCCAAAATGTTAAATTCAGTAAATAAACAGTAATTGTGTTAACTTATTTTCACTTAGAAAATCAACTAAACATGTCATTTGACCAGGGGTGCCCAAACTTTTGCATATGACGGTCTGGAAATGACCTCAGTTCTGTCCTGTATTGTGCTTAGTTCATGACAATCCAGGCTGAAATGATGTTTTTCCCTTACATCTTCCACTTCAATTGCTTTATAGAAGACTGTCTGCAGTAACGGGTTGTCATATGAGACAACATGACCATGAACACATACTTTTACATATACAATTCTTTCACCTGTGAGCTCCACATGCTTGTCCTCCTCTGTGTTTATTATGGCGTTCTCCAGAATCTGAGCGGTGCAGATGACCAGGTCTGAGTCCCTGACCACACGGCCAAAAAAGTCCTTCTCCTGGCTGTCTCCACTGATGGCCACGATCTTTACAGTATGACCCAGGTGGGGCCGGAATTCCTTCTGATAGTGCTGATCGACCAGGTGCACCTAAGAAACACATAAGCATAGACAGCTGTACTTTTACAACATGAGACATATTGGTGAGGAGATATGAATCAAGGTTAAAGGTTAATATACAGTACATTTTATGAGTTGCTACACAACGGGACAAAAATCCTTCAGACTCTTACAAAGGCAGAGCTAATGACCAGGTTTTGTAGTGAGCTGCAGTGTCTCCTGATTGGCTCCTGGTGACCAGGCCTACTTTAAACAATGTGGGTACCTTGTTGACGAGAACAGCCACTTTGGCATCGGGATGCGTCTCCAAGTGCCTTTTGGCTACGTACACTGCAGCTCGAGTCTTTCCTCCTCCGGTGGGCAGCCAAATGATACTGTTCTGCCCCCTCAGAGCCACCTCAACCACCTCCTTCTGGTACGACCTCAGTGAAATCTCCATCTGCACAATCACACAAAACAAACACACTGTAAACTCATCTGGTGCTGGTTATCCGTTTAAAGTTCAATGACCTGTCAGTGCATTCACGCTTCAGTTCCTCACTCTAACAACTACTTCACTACATTAAAAATGCATAACAATATCAGAATATACAGGAGGAAAAATCCAGCAGAGCAGAATGTTTAGAGCATACTGGGCCTTTAATTCATTTTACTGCATTTGGAGCCTCATAGAAATAAATGGTTTATTTCTCTGTGATACAAATCTCTGTAGACAAAGTTGCAATTTCCGCATTTTATACATGGTCGTGTATCCGAATCATTGATGATTGTTGGGGATATTGGCATACAGTCAAATGCAAAAGTTTGGGCACACCTGGTTAAATGGGTGAATATCTGAATAATAAGCCTGTAGCTTAAGAGGTTAAAACAAGAAAAGGCTTTAAAGGGTAATTCCACAAATTTTCTGCATAATTAAATGGCTTACATGTAAACAAAGTCATTTAGAGTGGTTAAATGTGAAATGCTCTGTTCTAGAGAAACTTGTTCACAGAACTGTTCCCAACATAGGATAGGAACCAGACATCTGAAGAGTTTAAAGTGTTAAAAGCTACTTAGCAGAAACAAATAGGTTGCCTAATGCCTGAGATATTATTTTTTTTTTTACAATACTTTTTTTTCCTACAGTAAGCCACTTCACATAAAACCACACTGAATGACTCTGTTTACTTTTCAATGATGCAAGAATTTTTAAAAATCTGTTGAATTTTAATCTTTAAGCCTCCTTTAGAGAATCATTATAATCTGGCCTTTTAGCTTTCTATCCAAAGGCACACTGCAAAAGAGAAAGAGGAAGACTGTCAGGCATTTTTAAAGGAGCAGTTTAACCAAACTTGCAGAATGTAACCTACAGCCATAGTGTCATCTGCATAATGGACATTTTTAATTATTGTTAGCAACAGGTCAGATCAGTCCTCCCCGAGCTTTTACAGTTAACAATGGATCACAAATATGTCTAAAATTCTTCTGAACAACAGGTTATAAAATCTGTCAAATGGCAAGTGCAGTATATTCCTTTAAATAAGAGGATCCTAACATACTAGCTAGATCTAACTGTCCTTTAAGGAGCACAAGCATATTCATTACTACTTCATACACAGAGCAAAACTCCACTCACAGTCCTTTAACAGATAAAGTAAACGTGTCTCAGCTTCTACGTCCAAAGCTCCTCATTCTAAAGGTGTATGAACCAGATAAACCAAAAACAGCTCAAAAATTAACTAGAGACAACCAAGATCACTCACCTTCACTGTGCTGGGGATTTAACAGAGCTCTCAGTGGGACACCTCAGAGCCTTCTGAGGAAATGTCACCGCCAAGACTCTTAAAATGGACTGTTCGATCTTCCGGCGTCCTGAGAAACGAAAGTGGAAGCGTAGGGTAGAAGAAGGGCCCAGCATAGGGGGGTTAACGACATACAGCAGCAGATGGAGGAGGCAAAATGCCAGTTAGTCTGTGTCTATTGTGGGGAGTAAAAACAAGTGTCATGATGATGATTAGCTGCAGGAGAAAGAGAGGAGGAGAAAGAGAGGAGAAAATGAAGCAGCTTCAGATCTGAAAAAATCCACAGGTGTTTTTGGCCATCCTTCAACTGTGAGAAGACAACTCAGCGCTATGAGTCTGAAGGGATGTGTAGCTGTCAAGAAGCTCTTACTGAGAAAAGAAAATACACATAAAAGAAGAAAATCTGCATATCAAACAAATAATCTGCTGACAGAACAATGGACTGACCACCCCAGAGTCCAGACCTTAACATCACTGAATGTGTTTACAAGCACTTAATAAGCTGATAACTGTAGATTTTGTCAGAAATCCGTTCAACATGTTTGCATGCACTTGGGTTATCAGACAATGAGAAAACTCCAGGTCTATGAGTCTATGAGGACTTCTGCTTTGCAACCAGCCAATAAATTCACGGAAGTCGTCGTGATGTAAACGTAATGTAAAACTCGGCTTTTTTGTTAAACATCGAGTCACTTCAGCAGAAAATATGAATATGCTGAGAATAGGGAAGATACAACTGCTGTGTGAATAGGGCGAGTATACTGACCCGTATAGGAACAGGAGAGACCCTTGCTGGGCCCCGCTCATGTACACAAGTGACATCAGGAAAGGGAAACTGAAGGACTAAAGGGATTCCCCACTTGTACGAAACGCAAGTAAACACACAGTAGCGCAAGTAAACACACGCACCAAACAGTTTAGTGTCATAGTTACTTTGCCAACAGGGTGTGAATCTTTGGTCCTGCAATAATATGATGCTATTACAGATCTTTTGGAAACAAGTCATTCTGAATCGTGAAAAAAATAATCATCATTTTAAATGATGATGAATTTTGAGATTTTATGATGCCTTCATAAAAATCTCAAATTCCACCCCAACTTGATTGAATTATTTCTACAGTTTTATTATTTTCTACAGTTCTAAAGAACTGTAATAGAATCAAATTATTGGGGCCAAAGAATATAGAGATGGCACAACACCAGTTTTATTAATCCAATACCAATAATTATTGAAACCTTAACATAAAAATGATAGTTATATTTTTAGCTATGAAACAAGCAGATAAGAGATAAATGTGCCTTATAAAAAAGTTTATTTTTTTTAGAAACAGAAAAAAACAGAATTACAGTACAAAGACCTGCAGCAATTTACATGCACCATAAAAATGTAACCAAAGCCATGAACATCATCCCCTTTTCTTCTTTGGGAAACACAATGTGTTTTTGATCTTCAGACACAAGCCTGTATAACTAAACAAAAAAAAACAAACAAAACAGGATATAAACACTGCAGCACTTCCTCAAAGCTAGTCATGATTCAAGTATGTGACCAACACAAGAACCAAGAGAAGAGATGGGGGTGGGGGGCATATCAATAAGTTTGCAGCATCGCTGCGGAAAACACCTCGGAACAGAACTCGTCAGTTAATGTTGTGAACATCGCTTCTACATGTGAAGCGTGAAGTTGTTGAGAGCATGCAGCATCAGAACAGGCAAGACACGGGTACACACGGTTGTGTATGTGTGTGTGTGTGTGTGTGTGTGTGTGTGTATGTACTGTGTAATCTGTAAAAGAACCATTCAACAGACACTTCAAATCAAACTCCAGGCTACAGCAAATACTGTTCCCAGATTTGATCACAGCTTGCAAAACTATACTGATTTTTTTTTGCTTTGTTATGTTAACAACCATTACACAAGAGCAGAATTATTGTACAAATACTCACTACTTGGTAGAAGAGCTTGGAAACGTCAAACAAAAACTGGCATGTCTTGTAAAGTGTCATCAGAAGATGGTAAAAGTCAGTGTGTGGTTATTTCAGTGAAGTTTGGCATGACACCATGGGTTCTCAAAGCACTAAAGAAAGACCGTAATGACAAATATGGCTTTTACTTGCAGTATACATAAACAATGGCACCACCATAACCAGCAGCCCAGACCCTGAACTCCAAAGGAGACCACCACCAGTAGTTCACAGTCACATGAGTAGTAACCCTGTGTGGGTGAGCATTAATGAAATGGCAAACATAAATGCACAAAATCTGATGCGTTACATCCCGAAACCTGAACCTGACTAAAGCAACCAATCCTGGGAAGTGGACAGCAAAGTCACCACAGAAACGGGCCAAAGCTGCTGTGCCAGTCACTTGAGCCTCTGAGTATCGGATCTAGAGATGCACTGAAATTCCAGCCACCAAAAGAGAAGAAAGGCTAAAATTTTGGTCCAGGAAAAAGAAAAAAAAAATTCTAAGTATGTTTCAGGGATTTGGAGACCTCTCTGGTGGAAATGTGTAACTGCAAGCAACATGCAGAGGAACATTTGTATTGTCTGTTGTATTTCGGACCCCTTCTCCAGGCAGATGAATCTGATGATTGAGAGCGAGTTGAAAGAGCATTCAAAGGAAACTCTGTCAGAACTTGGTGAAGGATGTGTCGTCCGAGGATGTAAGTAAATTATCTATTTTTGTCATCATATCTTCATCAGTGTAATGCTGATTTTGCATTTTAGACCTCAAGCGGGACCTTCTTTCTGAGTTTCTGTATGTGACATTAATATGTAAAAACGCATGACGTGGTCTGAAAAACCCCCAACCCGATACCTCTGACTTCTAACTTAATATTTCAGGTTTTACAGGGTGCCTAAGAGCAGCACAAGAACACCATTTCTTTTAAAGTGCTTTCTTTCTGCCTCCTGACTTAATGCTACTTCTTTCAGTTTTAACAAACCTATCTTACATAGTGCAGCTTTAAACAAGCCGACATGTCAAAATGTAAGACTTCACAAACAGTTTTAATGGTTCTAAAAATGAGAAATATTGTGTAGAAAGGCTGTTTGCTCCCTGGTCAGTGCAGGCAAGTTCAAACAGTTTGAGCAGTGGCAGATCAACGGTTAAAAATGTTAGCTGTGTGGAAACACTTAGACAAGTGATTTGTGATCATTTCATTCTAAGATATTAAGGCTGATCTGATGTCCAAGAACTCCTCCATTACAAGTTTGAAACCACTTAAAACCATGACACCTCAATCAATGTGCAGACGCACCAGCAAAAACAGAAAGCCCCTGCGAGCACAAAGACAGCATTTGTAGACACAGTCTTGAATTGACCAAAATAAAACCAAAAAAAAACAAAAAAACCCCAAAAAACAAAGAAACAACATATAACTTCAAAAATGATTGGATTTGGATGCCTTTGATGACAATTCTCTTTTGTTGAGGGTGTGGGATTTATGGCATATACAATAGACTACATACTGTGGAATAATTTTAGCAAGTGCAACTTATCTATTTTTTTTTTCATTTATTGTCAGCTTTTTTGGTTTTTGTTTTCTGCTTTCGGGACTGAATTTTAGTCTTGGCTTCAGCCAAGCGTTTTCATTGTGGAGCATCACTAATCAGGGCAGGGTTTGCCAAAAGCACAACAGACAGAGTCAGCATCACATTAAACATTCTCTCTCTCAGTTAAAATGATCTTAACACTTACAAAGCTTTTGGAAAACTGTGCCCAGATCACATTTCATCCTTTCACTGCAGTGCAACAAGTAGACTGATGTCAGAGATTCTAGTTTAGAGGGCGATATTGTGCATTTGTTTACTGAATTATATAATTATATAAATTAGATCAATATTTTAAATGCAGTCAATCAGCCAAGACATGTTTGGTGTCTGATGTTTGCTTCAGTTTTGCACTGTATTCTATGAGGCTAATGTAGCTGTCCATTTTCAACAGTTAACTACAGATAGTGCAACATCACTTTTTCTTTTCTGATATCAGTACCAACTGAAATCGTGAGTATCGGCTGATACAGATACCACGTGTCTTTTTAAAAAAACTCCTACGCCCTAAAACAAGCTGTTAAACACTTAAAAAAAAAATACATATACACCTCTAAAAGTAAAAATCATGCTTAAACTAATCAAATACTCTACTACCCCACAGGAAGAACTGTGTGAGTGTGGCTTTTTAATTCATTCTTTTTATCTTGTTAACATACAACCCAGCATTTTAATGCTGATATTGGCCTGATACTGATACCCACTGACATCCTCAACAGAGAACAATTTTTTAAGAAGCTAACTTTTGGCATTCAAATAAATAACAGCACATCATACCACATCAAAAACTACACAAGAAAGTCTATTTGAGATTACTTAAGTTGATGCAGTTTGTGGCAAGTGTGCACAATGCTAATTACTTGTTAGCCTCTTAGCTCCAGAAGAAGCAATCAAGTCTTGGCTGACTGACTACACTTAAAAACAAGAAGACAATTGTGTGCATTCGATTTTTCACAAAACGTCTCCTTTGACCAGTGGATCACGCCACTGGAGGGCCTCAGTGCTCCATGTTTAGCTCTTTTTGGAAGAAATACAGCACATATGTAGCCAGCCTAATGTTCCACTTATTCTGAGTCAGTTGTGGACCACACAGCGTGTATGACACATGCAGAAGTCCAAGTGTCTGAGCACTGTAATGAATAAGGAGCACTGCTACGAATGAGCCTCAGTATGCATGAGTCATGCTTTTGCAACGTCATGTAGAGGGAGCAGAAGGGAAACAGAAAGAAAGAAGAATGAATAATGAAAGGCTTCTCTCCACAATTTAAAGCACTTAACTATCCATCACTCTACCCAGAAACATTCGTCTTAGCCCCATCCCTTCCCAAAACACCCTGCTGAGTCATTCCTCTTCCCTCTCTTCATAATCTTGCATATCTTATATGTATTTACACAGTACATGTGAAAATGTTTGAAGTCGGCCAAGAAAATTGTTTAAAACTATTTATCTGGGCAGTAAAGTGTGTTTTTGATTGTAAAAACACAACCTAACATCAGACTAAATGCAAATCAACAAACACAGCAAAAAACTGAATTATTTGATTTCAAAAGTTAGATGAGGTTTGGTTCCTCTTCTCTTCGGTGCAGATACAGCCACTGCATGGACTTAAATTCCACCACCAACACATCTAACTTAACTCTAAATTATTAACATGATTTTAAGGAGAATTTTACAATTTTTACCCAAAACCTCTGGGTATTTGCATCATTAGGTTATAAACAAACTCAGAGAGGTTTCATATGAAATGTGTGATTGTAGAGAGTCAATGGTGGTGACAGGAACCAGATGTTGGAAAGTTCAATGCCTCTTAAAGCTACATTCACAGAAAGCTATTATATGGTCATGAATATGCTGCTTTACAATAGTTCTGAGTTTAAGTTTTAACCTAAAAATTATTTCTAAAAAACAGGCAGGCTAGAGAGGTATACGCAAGGTGCTGTGGGGCAAATTAGTACCCAAAGAATATGTTTTTGGGTTTATCACTATTTTATTATTCTTAACATTACATATAAAAACTCTATCCTGAATATTTTGGGCACCAAAAACCAACTATATGTGCATTTGCAATGTAGCAAATATTTACAATGTAACACCACCTCTATAAAAAATGCAGAGCTGGTAAGTTTCTCTACAATTTACCATTTTACATCAAACCACTCTGAATGACTGAATGTGCACATCTGAACGACTGAATTACGCAGAAATTTTTAAAAATTGATGGAATTCTCCTTTAATCATGTATAACTTAAGGAAGTACTGATTGGCTGTATTGTATTTTGTAGTAACAAAATACTCGGTTGCCTCAAGAAGAGGATTTCAAAATGTTTCAAAAAACACACCGACAGAAATAAATGATTCTTGATGACGAACCTCTACATGTATTTACTCTAATGTTAGCGGTTTTCCTGTGCAAATAAGCTCCCAGGTAAATCATTTTAAATATCATTTTCTCAGGTGACTATGACTTTTATACAGTACTATATGAGTGAGAATTCTGGTGGTTTCTGCCACACATGCCCAGCCCCTTTAAGAAATGTTGCACCTTCTCTGGTCCCTTACTCTCTGGGCATTCGCCTTCACTTGTCAATGAGGCCGCTCTCCTTAAGTTTGAAGTAGAAGAACTTCTCCAGCGTGTTGGCGCATTTGCAGTACTCGCTGTCAGGGGGGTTGTACTCCCTGCAGTTTGTGATCACTCTCTGCAGGTCGGCGATGAACAGCTTCTTAGTCACATAGTAGCGGTTCTTCAGCCGCTCCGTCATGGTCTTCAGATCTAATGGTGGAAGCAGAGGCTGATTATGAAATTGGCCTGAATCACATAATGGGGACAGTAAAAGTGGTACTTGTCTGCTTTCTGAAATTAGCTGCACTTTTACGCTGTGAATAAGGGGATGCACTGACCAATGGGAAATCGGATGATCTCATAGTAATCTGGAGCTTCGGACTTCTTCACTGGTTCCATGAAAGGCCAAGCGTCAGGGTGGGTCTAAAATTCACACAAAACAATCACACACTGAAACATTAAGCACATAAAGGTGATTACAAGTGGAGATTTTTTTTTTCCTTTAACTACAAAGCTTAAAAAATGGCAACTGTTTTAAAACTATTTTTTAAACTTAAGCACTGAAAAAAAAAAAAAAACTGCGCCAGGAGCTTCATGGCTTGGGTTTTCATGGCCGAGCAGCTGCATGCAAACCTTACGTCACCAAGCACAACGCCAAGTGTCGGATGGAGTGGTGTAAAGTGCCACCACTGGGTCTGGGTTTGGCTAATGCCAGGAGAACATTACCTGCCTGACTGCACTGTGCCAACTGTAAAGTTTGGTAGAGGAGGGATAATGATATGGGGTTGTTTTTCAGGGGATGGCCTGTGAAGGGAAATCTTCAAGACATTTTGGACAATTGTATGCTTCCAACTTTGTGGGAACAGTTTGGGGAAGGCCCCAAAGTGGGGACCAACTCCATATTAATGCCTATAAATTTAGAATGGAATATCATAGTAGTTCCTGTAGGTGTCCGAAAACTTTTGTCTATAGAGCCTGCAGCAGTGTAGCCCTTCCTATTCACAGTGGAATGTTTCAGCCTGGACCGCTTTTTGAATAAGGCACAATACAGGGCAGCCAATCAGAAAAGAGGTCATTTACATTAGCTAGCTACTCATTCTTAAGTTAATATGGCTACTGTTTCATGTAACTTGCTTTACTCTGATTTATGCTGTGCCAACATTTTCTGCTGGTATCGGTCTGATATCAACACTATGTATTTCCTTTAGAAAGAGAAAGAATTTCAGGGTTTCAGGTGACCTGCCTGGTCCCAAAAGAGCTGACAGGTCTGACAGATCCGATTTCAGAGCCAAAGCTGGCACTAATGTATTTGTGGAAGTAGGAGAAAGATTCTTACTTTAATTTGGGCCAGAAGATTCTTCAGTATGTTGTAGAGCAGGTCAGGATCTTTCAGCTCTTTACTGGAGAATAAAATATCACTCAGATCATAAAAGTTATTTATTATGTATATTAGCAATAATAAAATATATAATAAACAGGAACGTATAATAATAAACACACGTACGATCAGTCTATAACTGTCACTTACTTTTTCTCTTTGGCACTGGGCTTCCAACCAGTCTCCCCTGTGGGAGAGAGAGGAAGAGATGGGAAAAAAGAAAGAGAGATAGAGAGAATGCACAGATTAGATCACCTGTGGCATGAAATCATGAAGTGCACATCCATACTCATAGACACACAAGCACTTACTGATTCCAGGAATGCTCTCCACAGGTATCTGTCGGACTCCCTCCTTAAAACAGGTAAGTCCAGGGTAAACCTTCCTGATCTGACTCTGCTTCCTCTCAATCAGCTTCTTAATGATCTGCAGCACAAACACACAAAGAGACCAATGATCATCAACACACAGTAAGACTGTGAGATCACATGCAACATGCCATCTTCCGATTGTGCCCAACTTTGAAATAGCACTAACTTAACATGAAGCTAAGTCAGTTTTTATAAACCTAGACTTTAAATGCATGTGGTCTTGATATTAGTATTATAGATACTATTCTTCTACGTTTCATAACGACGTATTTGTCAACAAATAAGAGTGACTAACCTTACAGTCTCACACAGAGCGAAATTTAAGCTAACAGTACTGCACATTTTAAAGTTGGCTCTGAGTATTCACACAACTCATCAAAAATGGTGCTATTCATTTTGAGAAAAAAGGTCCCCCCCAGCGACTGGGTATCCTACACCGTCACTGTCTATCAGTTATCTCCAGCCCAGGCGAGCTGTCTCATATCGCAAGAACACAGAGGATCCTGCAGGTTTATGTGTGGGACTCACCTCTTTCTGTCTCTTGATGATGTGCGACAGCTCTGTGTAGGGAATTCTGGGATTGAGCTCACACTCCATCAACGTGGCACCTTCATAATCCTTAATGTAGCCAAGGTAGCGACTCTTTGGCACTTTGATGTCTTTGGAGAAGCCCTTTCATTACATGACGGATAGAAGAATTCACACATTAAAAAATCTTTCAGATGAACATAAAGATACAGCTGTAGTTGGGATGCACTAATATGGGGATTTTGGGCTGAGAGAGATATTTTTCACGTGCATATCCACTGATGCTGATACACAAACATTTATTGAATGCAGAAACTGGGCTGTGAGAAAAAGAAGAGGATGAATGTGAGTAATACCTGCTTCTTGAAGTAGCCAATGGCATATTCATCAGCGTAGGTTAGGAAGTAAAGAATGCCATGTTTGATGTGATACTCCTTTAGGTGATTCATCAGGTGTGTACCATAGCCCTGCCACACACACACACACACACACACACACACACACACACACACACACTTAGTTGTCTACAAAATACCCAAAACTAATTCAGCAAAAAAATCTATCTAATTAGAAATCTAATCTAATTTAGCAAGTTACTAAAATTAAAATTAAACAAACTAGGTAAGGTTCGTAAGAAAAACAACAACAAAAAAAAAGAGAAATATAATAAAACACAGCTTAAAAATACTGATTAGACCTGATGCTAATGTGAAAAGCAGCAAGCAAGCTACCAGAGTAAATTAGCAAGCTAATTTATAGCCTTTTAAACATTCAATTTCAGGAATACAGAGGACATCTGCAGTGAGACGACAGCAATGAAGCACAAAGAGCACAGAGCGCGAGACACACAGGAGAGACATGCACATACACACACAGCAGCAGAGAGAGAATATTTATAATGTTGATGTACTAGGCTTAATACATATTAAGAAATATACATGTTGTAGCCTTGTGTTATCATACTGCTTTTTTCCCCTTATAAATGATGTCACACAATATATTTATCCTTATCGTCAGACTACTTTTCTCATATGCATGTAGCGAACACAGTGCAATACATTTCCCCACAGGACCATATTCCCATACAGTATGAAAACTCAACATGTCAGTATGAGGACCATATAGGTTTACATTATGAAATTAAACTGTTCTGGTGCTTATTTCTTGATATTTCCTCATGACTCTCATCTAGACAGAATTATATGATAACACAAATGCAGCTCAGAAAATGAATATGAAAGTTTTATATAAAAATAAAATGAATGTAAAACAGTGCACTAAAGTGTATTACACTGAAACAGCTGCCTTGATTTTTATGTACATTTCATGTATTTTAAGTATTTATGGTAATAGAGTTTGGATGTTGAACACTGTGGTGAAGTTTCCATTCCACAGTGAGTTTATTCGCAGGTAGAATCTCATACTTCTAAATTTAAAGAGAGCACTTTGAATGAAAAGGTTCTATTTTGGTCCATTTCAGAAAAGACTATTTTCCTAAGTCATAAGTACCTCCAGGCAATGACTTTATTAGGATATGGAAGGTGACTGTACTACATAAGTGTTTTGCTATTTTTGAAGTGGAATTTTTGTTCCCCAATTTTTTATTTCAAAACAGCAGACCTGCACTCAGTCAGTCCATTACTATTCTAAGCCGACTATACACAGACAGTGTTGTGGACCCTGCTGTGTCCATCATTCAAATATTATTCAGCTTTAATGTGATGACTTAAAGAAGGCTCTTGTTCACTTTATTGCTGGTGCGGCTGGTTAAATGAATGAATGAACAAACTGATGTCAGGCAGACAAATGCTTGCTAAGTTTGCCTTCGCTTGGTTGTTAGCCTACTCACAATACTTTTCTCCAACTAGAGCAAGGTTAACATACTTAAAAGGAAAACAAGCATTTAGGTTCCCTGTGGCTTTAAGTCAGGCATATATGACTGGTAAAATCCTAACAGAGAATGGAGAACATCTTAGTGTCATTCTTTTACAGAACTGTTAAGTGCGGCCAAAAGAGAGAATCACACAATTATTGGGTTTAAGATATGAAAAAGAAAACAAACAAAGCTGAAACTGGGCCAGACCTGTTTGTGCACATACAAAATGCCTAACAAAACTACAATTTGTGTATGAGTACGTGGATGGAAAACATGAACATTTTATTCTGCAGTGAGAACTGGACAAGCATTTTACTAGGAACTGAAAAGCTGACATATGTCCCTTCACCTTGTTTCTCTTTGCAAACTCTCTCATTGGCTGTTGCCTGAATCACCTGTTAGCCTCACATCTCCAGTGCTAAAGTAAAGAAGCAAACTTCAGATGCCCAACGTGTTTTGACTGAGTGATTTGGGGTAAAACTGTAGATTTCGACAAAACTATTCTTTTCAGTAGTTCTATGTTTTCGTACCTTGACTTGCTCATTTGAAGTAACAGCGCAGAAGACAATCTCAGTGAAGCCCTGAGTGGGGAACATTCGGAAGCAGATCCCACCGATCACACGGCCATCTTTTATCAGAGCCAACGTCTTGTGCTTCCTGAAAGTATCAAGAAGTCAGGGGATAAAACTGACTGCTACAGAAGGCTCTAACATCAGAATGTTGCTATAAAATAAACACAAACATCTAAAAGGGAACTATTTAAATAATACGTTTGCTGATAACATCTTAGCTGTCAGCTGAATGTAAAACCACTTCAAGATTTTGTTTGTTGTAGTCAATGTACTTTGGCCAAGCTGATGCGTTAGGGTGTTTTCACACTTAGTCTGTTTTAGCATTGCAAATGGTCTCAGACAGATGACTCAGCATTTCTATGCATATGTGAACACATCTAACAAACTCAGACCCCCTAAAATAAGCCACAAACACTGTTTTTGGGCATCATCCACAGACGACCTATGTATGGCTCACCTGCGGTTTGCTTTTCGGTCTGACTGATTAATGAACTGAGAAAACACTTAAATATGAAAACACTTTTAGATGTTAAATGTCACAGGTCACCACAGCAGCATAAGGAGGTTTTAATAAGCAGTGTTACGAGTGGGGGTGCATATAGACTAGTTGGTGTGTCATCTAGTAAATCTAATAGTTGGTGCTGTTGGCAGCAGTCAACAAGTTGAGGACAGTGCCTGAAATAAAGCAGCAGTAAAAAACCACAGAGAACAGAAATAATGCTGTCTGGTAAACACAAATAACAAAGTACATTATTTGTGTGGAAACTAATTCCACTGATATAAACTGTAAAAAAAAACAGTATATAACTGGTTCCACAACTGGGCCTGTACTTCACTCAGAAAAGCTTTCTGGTGAATAGAGATGCAACTGCTTACTACAGTATCACAAACAATTGTTTGTTTCCCATTAATTTAACACCAGATTAATAACACCAGTGAATGGAAGCGCAGAAAACCAAAACCAGTTAAATTCTCTGTGACAAGTGAGATTTTGAGAGCTGTGGCGATTTTAGTGTGCAATTTACATCAGATAGTCATAGTGTACTTATGTGGGCAAAGTGTTTGAGACTGCAACCTACTGAAATACCAACTTAAAAAAAACCCAAAAACAACAGAATAACAAAGAGAAACACAAAAACAAACAAACAAAAAAAACCCCATAGCCTTTGATGCCCCAGTCCCTCTTAGCCCACTCTTCTGCAACCTACAACTTTTCTTTTCAAATGTAGTACCAACAACTAATCTACTAGTTTTTAAAATGACTAGTTAAAGAGTAAAAATTATTCATTTTGCAACCCATAGTTAATAGTAAGTAGCATGCTTGATTTAAGGCAAAAGGTTAATTAATGTACTCACGGGTCAAAAACCAGGCGTGTGATGTACTCTTTAGGCATGCGTGGCAGCTGATGGGAGAAAACGTTCTGAAGTCCGACCAGCCACATCAAGATCTTCTTATTGGACTTCTGAGACAACGAGTTCCCGATCACGTGGAACTCAATAATGCCCCTCCTCTCCTCCAGACGCGCCGTTTCATCCCGTGCAGCGTTAGCCGAAAGGAGACTTGTCTGAGGGACAAAACAAAGGCATCACTGCTAACATCCTTTCAGCATCAAAAGAACACTCTGGTAAGCTACATGCCTGAATCACTATACATTTGCCTCAAACTGCATCAATACTTTTACCACAATTCAGGCATCAAGAGGCCTGTCACTACTAATTTTAGCTATACAATGTACTTTTCTATTTTTTATAGATAACAGTATGTTATAGAGGGTCATAAACCACATAACACCGAGACAAGAGCGTTAAATTTAGGTATGCACTTTGCAAGGTGCTAATTGGCAGGGTATAAGCCTTACAGCTCCAGTAAATCTTAAGAAGTAAATTTTAGTCATCAAACACCTTTGCTGATCAACTGCATTTGGGGAAATTGCTGTTATTCATTAGGGTATATGTCGATTGCATAACTATCCATCCAACTGTTGTCTTGTTAGTCACAATGCTGATGACCAGAAGTGCCAAGATATTCTTCTAAGTTTTGTAAGGTTCAGTAAGGACTAGGTGGAATACAAAACTATAAAAGTATAAGAGTGCCTGGGCTGATTTAAGCGCTGTTGTTATGCAGAGTGAATTTCAGGCAGAGCCAGCAGCTGTGGTGTGTGTTGTGAGTGCTGTACAGCAGAGACATTCTGCTGACCTCTGGGCCCAGCATGGCAGCAGGGTCTGTTATAGTCATCATGACCTCGTTGACCAGCTCCATGGGAATATCCCCCATCACCCTGATCCGCTTAGCATCCTCCAGCGTCAATGCCTCTGGCAGTTTCCGCTTCTCTCCTGAGAGACAGAGAAGACAAAAGAGAGCAGGGAGAAGAAATAAAGTGAGAGACAAGACAGACAGACACACAAGACAAAAAGGAGAGGGAAAGAGTGAAAGATGGGGAGAGATGGAGAGATGGGGAGATGTTTAAGACAGGCATAATTATGGAGTTTGGCTCACAACGTTTTCATTTGTACTGTAAACAATAAACACTGTCATTAATTTTTTAATAATATAAAAATAAGGACAGATAATGCTGGACTTCACGTGTTCTGGTGACTATTAGTGAATCATCATTTGCTGTGTACCTGTGATGGGTTCGGAGGTGGCTGTATCCAAAGCAGAGCCTGCTGGACCTTTACGCAGAGGAGAACCGGACACCGACACAGGACTCAGCACTGCAGAGGGCACCACACACACACACACACACACACACACACACTCACTCAAAATGGACCACTTTGGAGAAGAACATACTCCACAAACCAACAGGCATTCACACACAAACCTGTCTGAGGACCCAGCTGTGCCCCCTCAGAAGCTGGCATGGTGAAGTCAGCATCCCAGATAGGAGAGTTCTCACCATAGATCTCCTCTTCTAGCATGGAAAGAAACCTAACATACAAAAACACAGAAAGACAAAAAGATCTAAAATGTCTAGAAATCAGTGTTTTTGTAGTTATTTTCTGTGGATTAAGGCTGCATCAGGCACAGACTTTACAGTAGGCAACCAGCCAGAACTCCTACGAGCCAACAGCTCCATAAAAATACAAACTAGATATATGCAATGGACCAGCATGAGTAAGCAAAGCAACTATGCTAGCAATGACAGTGCTCATGGAACAAGTGAGTGAGAATGATTTCGGTAAATCAATGAGGGGAAAAAAGGAAAAGAGGTGTGGAAGGGCCTCAAAATCATTAAATTTACCCTTGGGTTGCATACATGGGGCAGGCAGGGTTTTTTTCACGATAATGATTTTTATTTAATTTTCAATCATAGGAAAGAAAAACAACACCAAAACAAGAAGAAAAAACAAAGGAGGGTAAGAAACTACATAACTACCCCCCTACCCCATCCCACTCACAACAAAAGACAGCTTGCTAGACATAATGGTGGACATTCTAGGCATCCAAAAACAAACACATGCAAATAAACTTAGCCATCCGCCTTAATAACACTGTCAAGTACAACATCTCGGCCAAACCTGAGCACATTCAACAATTTCACATATATGACGTGGAAGACTGGAAAGGAAGGGAGAACAAGGGCGCTCAAATTCTGTATTGTTACCTTCAATTCTAGCACATAAGCGCTCAAAGGGAAGGATTTTCATAATTTCATTATTCCAAAAGGTAAACTGTGGGTGGTCTGTCATCAAGCCACTTAATTAAGATACATTTATGAGCAATGAACAATAATTTGACTGGATTTGACAAGGTGTAAGATTAAACTTATCCTTAACCATACCTAGTATAAAAAAACAGGGGTCGCTCTTTATGGAGCAACCGAATACCTTTTCAAGCTTTAGTCTGATCCTATTCTAAACGGAGGCAATGATGGGGCAGGATCAAAACATATGCGAGTATGTACTCAGCTCTTTTTTGCATTCTGGGCAGACTGATGATTTTAGTGGGTCAATATTATTTAGAATATAAGGTATGCAATGTAAACGATACAATATCTTAAACTGTGTTTCTAAGGTTTTATTGCAGACCAGCACACTTGTCAAGGGGACAGGCAGTTTGACAAATCTGTCAGGTGTCTGTGAGCGTGAGTGTGTGTGTCTCTTACTTGGGAAAGTGAGTCAGAATAAGGGTCCGTTTCTCTGGGGGAAGTTTGTCTTTCTCCACCCTGAACTTCTCCAGCAGCTGCCGGCGGGTGACTGTAAAGATGGATTTGAGGAGACTACGGCCAAACACCTGACACGTCTCATAGCGGGGCAAACTGTCGTTACTCTGCGGGACATGGCAGTAGCACAGCCACCTGTAGAAAACATACACGTGCACAAGCATTAGATCATTACTGCAAAATGATTTATCGATTCTTACTAAACATCCACAGAAATATTTCACTAACAGAAAAAAAAACATTAAGCCATTACAAAGTACACATAAGAGCACATTATTCAGTGCAACAGCAAAAAGAACCAACATACTTTACATGCATTATAGAAATGAACAGCCAACGTGACCCACAGCTCCCATAATGAAGGACTGTGTGAATCTAAATAAGTCCTCCTCTTTTAAACAATAAACTATATGACACACAGATCATTAATATGTCGTGACCTGACATCACACATCAATAAAATTCTTAATTACACCCAAGCCCACCTGGTATAATCCACTTTGTATGCGGAGGCGTCCTCTTTCTGGGCCCGCTGGCGAAACTGAGACGGTGTCTCCAGCTTCCAGTAGTTCAGACACAGCAGAAACATCTTACTCAACTCATACATCGTCTGCCTCTCTTTAGGAGCCAAGTGACTGAACTTATACTGCACAAAGTTCAAAACCCCCTGAGAGAGAGACACATACAGAAAGAGAGAGAGAAAGAGGAGGAAGGAGAGAGCATGAGCAGAGAGACAGGGGGAGAAAAGGGAAGAGGAAGAAAAAGAAGTGAGAGGGAGATGAGTGAGAGAGAGCCAAAAAAAGCAAAAAGAGGAAGAAAGATAAAAAAAGGGAGAGACAAAGAGAAAGATACAAACAGAGGTATGCAAGAGAGGGACGGAACGTGCGGAAGAAAACAGAGAAAGAAAAGAGAAAGAAAAAGAAAAAAGAGCGAGATGAGTGTGAAAGATGTGAGAGCAGGGGGGAGGGAGAGAGAGAGGAGAAAGAAGAGGACAAAAAAGAAAGGAGGGAGAGAAGGAGAGCAAGAAAAAGGACGAGATGGAGAGGGAGGGGGGAGAACAGAGAGGGAAAGAGATTAAGAAAAAAGAAAGAAGAGACATACAAAGAAAAAGAGAGAGAGAGACAAAAAGAGCAAAAGGAGAAGGGAGAGAGGGAGAGAGACATAGAAAGAATATATTGAGCTTAACATTTCTTAGAAAGATGAAATAAATGATAAAGTATTTTCAAATTGTTATCAAACAAATATATACGTTTCTGTCTCACCCACAGCCGCCCTGATACCCACCTGTTCTATGTTGGGTTTCTCAAACGGTGGGCTTCCAAGTGAGCCCTCTACTACCGGCTTCCCCATCTGCAGAATGCACTTCCTCAACAGCTACACAAACACAACAGGCACAAAGCATTGGTTTTATTCCCATACAAAACAATGTGCAATTATGTTTAATTACAGAGAGCTACTGAGTACCGAGCATGTTACTATAGTCCAATTACTATATTATTAAAAGTTAGGGCCAAAACTGTTCATGTTCTGAGGTGTAAGTGTGAAACAGCACAGCTGTGTGAAATACGAATGTTTTACCTTAAACAGATAGAAGTAAACCTGCTTGGTGTCTGTGTCCTCCTCTTTGTGCACAGACATGAAGAGATTCTCTACATCCACCACCATTCCTAGGAGCCTGTTAATCTCCTCTTCTGACACATTTTCTAGGTGAGACACATGCTCCGCTACACATTCAAGACACAAACAAACACACACACACACACACACACACACACACACACACACACACAGAATATCAGGTAATGCAGTAATTCACCCCTTGTGTTATTATTCAGTAACTATAATGACATTTTATTATTAAAAGTTACGTAGTTACAAAGTCAGAAACTAAAGTGTGACTCAGGGCTGGCTTCTCAAACCCAGATTAAGGTTAACTCTGGACTTCAAAGATATTTCAAAGGTAATTTGGCATTGGAACTTCAATTTAGCCCAAAACTAGACTTAATCCATGTCTGGGAAACCAGTCCATAGCGTTTACGGCACGTGTCAGGTTCGAGTTCTCGCAGACCAAAACACTGCTGACTTTAGAACTCTGCCTCATTAAAGACACCTGATTCAGCTCATCAGCTAATTAGTAAAGCCTTCATGAACTGAATTCAGAGTGTTAGATGAAGGTAAACGTTAAGCAGCCTTTTGGCCCGGAAGGTCCCCAGTTTGACATTCCAGGTTCAAGGAGTTAAAACAAGAATCAATCAGCAATATCTTCTCATTTTTCATATTTAGAGGTGAAAACAACAAAAACCCATTTGCTACTCTAATCAGTATAACCTGTTTATCTAAGCTGGTGTCTAATTCTAGTCCTAGAGGACTTATTTTATGCACTGATCACAATTATTAAGCTGACCACTGTTATAATCTACAGTTGTTAGCTAACAAGCCTTCATTGTATTTATTAAAACCATAAAAAACTTCTGACTGGTGCTATAACATGTTTAGAGGGCAGTGGTGAGTATTGTGGGTTTATTTGAGCTCAGGCTGTGTCTGTCATCAGTTGGGAGCTACTAAGGATCAGTCAGGAAGTAAGACAGCTAATCAGCCAATTCGGCCACATTAAGCTTGTGCTTTAATAGCTGCATAAAATAAACAAAAAAAGACAATCGTTCTTCGCAGCTATCTTTATGACAATTAACCGTTACCCAACATTGAATGTTACTGACAGGCCTGTGGGGCTTTCTGCTAGTGCAGTTTGATTATTTCCCTGCTCTACCACACCTACTAAATACTGCCAAGAGTGATGGAGCTCCACCCAATTCCTTTCAGAAAAGTTAAACTCGAAATCCCCGAGAACATCAGAACCTGATGTCATCTTGTAACTGAACGCAGTCAAATCTCCACAGCAAATGTTCCAACATTTAGTCTAAAGCCTTCCCAGAATAGTAGAGGCTGTTACTGCAGCAAAGGGGGACAAACCCCTTATTAATACTCTTCATTATAGTAAAAATGTTGGACATATAGTGCACATCACGCTACACAAAATATCTTCAGTTGAAAAAAAAACATTCAGGCTGCAGCTGACTGATGGAAACATACCCAGGGTATGGCCACAGCTGCGGCATGCTTCGCTCAGGTTGGCCGCCTGCTGCTGGAGCTCCATCCGGGTGGCGGTGGGAGGATGGGGGTTCTTCCAGCCATTACACTTACAAGAATCATTAGCCTGAGGTAGGAGAACATCACAAAACAGTTTGGAAACAGCTTTGTTTATATAGTGATACAGACTAGTGCAATGGTTTCTAGTCTGGAGGCACTGTGTATTCTGAGATGTTCCCTCCTCCTTGATAGTAAAGTGGGTGACTAGAGAGACTAAATATAACAGCTGAATTCTAACACATGAAATTATTTAACATCTAATTTGAAGGGTAGGTCTAGTAAACAATCTCCTGAGGAGAACCAAAGCTTTGAACCAATCCACAATCGTTTTTCCAAACATACACTCTTAAAAAAGATGGGTCTCCAAAGGGTTCTTTAGTAATGACAATCAAATCACGTTTATTCTTACATCACATTTACGCAGGTGGAAGGTGAGTGAAAATCTTAGGTGCGTAGCCCCCTTATAGAATTTAAATACAAAAACAAAAAAATAATATATATATATATATATATATATATATATATATATATATATATATATATATATATATGAAGAAAAAAAGAAATACATACACACAGACTCTAAATATATACAATACTATATACACTAGTATTGTATTATTTTCAATGTACAGTTATACAGTAATAAGTTATGAAATAAAACTATGAAATGGACGGTTGTACACATTCTGTATGTGCAGTTAGTCTGAGGTAGATAAATAAATGAGTTGCAGGTACACAGGGGACAGAATATTGATATAGAAATCTTCCAGATTAATCAAGGTATGGATAGAAGATGTACAAGATGTCAATCTATTTGTGCAAGTACAGATTTGCTAGATTAGAGGTGCAGAAGATCAGAATGAGTCTAATGAGATGTGGATAAGGTGTAGATTGTCCATGGAGATGATGACTCAGAGGCGCAGTGACAAGCCTATAGACGAATATATATATATAAAATATATAGAACCCAATGGTTCTATACAGCATCTTGAACACCGTATAGTATGCTTAACTGGTCCTTTGCATAGTGAATTCATTATTCAGACAGATGGAGAATGTGTTGTATAGAACCTTTATTAAAAATGGTTCTATACAGCACCAAAAAGGGTTCTTCTATTGTGATAATGTCAAGCTTGTAAAACAGAAGAACTCCTTTTTGGTGCTATACAGAACCATTTTCAAAAAGGTTCTGTATACAATCACATACAACACATTCTCTATCCATCTGAAGAGCAATTTTACCATGCAAAGAACCATTTAAACATAAAAAAAATGATTCTATACAGAACTTGTGGTTCTTAATAGAACCACTGCCTTCACTAAACAGCACTTGGAGAACCACCTTTTTAACACAGCTGCAAAAACTGTGCTTTCAACAATAACGAACTAATTTCATGGACTGTTGTCCACAGCAGTGTAGCAGCCGGACTTTGGGGACAGTCAGGAACACAGAAAGTAGGACACTGCAAAAAAACAACTTGTAAGAATGGCTGCATGAGGCTGTCTGAGCTACTGGGGCAAGTCCGGCTGAGCGGACCGGACGGTTTTAGTCCCCAGGTTTGTTAACGCTAACGTTAGCTAGCCGTTTGTCTCCCATGCAATGCACTGTGCACAATAAAGTGGGCTAGTTCGGTCTTTGCTATAGTGAGGTTAGCCTAGCTAACTTAGCTATAGCTAGCTACCTTACAAGCCGAAAACACTCCGAGTTTCTCGAGTTTCTTGGCCCGAGGAAAAGCGCGAACTTGGGCCTTTTTCTGACTCGCCCACTGCTGCTGGCTCAGGCCGGGCCGGGCCGGGTCGCTGCTGCCGGATCCGGAGCCTGAGTTGGGGCCGGAGCCCGCCGAGCCTCCGCTCGGGCCCTGCTGAAGCCGGACTTGCGTGGAGGCTTGACCCGCCGGTTCCGCCATACCAGCACGGTGCTTCTCCGTCCGGAGAGTCGATGTGGTCAGATCTGGGCGCTACAAGCTTAATGGACCAGTACCTGTTTTTTATTTATTTACGTTTTTTTCAGGCCTCGCTGCCGCCTGTCTCCACGAGACACAATAGTTACATTGCGCATGCCCAATACCAGCTGTCTCTGGGTAGTGTAGTTTCCAATGGAGCTCTTACTATCGATCATTCCCGGTATGCAGTCTATCACAACTTTAAATATAAAAGATATTCAGCCACGTGAACTTAAATGTCAGGTATGTACCACCCCTACTGTACAGGCTTAACGTTTCACAGGGCCTATATATATTTCATTTTGTCACGTATAATCTTAACTCCACATTCATGTGTATAATTATACCTTTCTTCACCCTTCTGAATGAAACAGGCCGTTTTCATCACTGTTTATAACATATATGTTATTGCTGTCTATATCTGTTTTTTTTTTCAATTTGTATTTTTCTACATCAGTTGAACACAGCAGCTGTCCTTTACACTGTGTGATGCTAAAGAATCATGATTGTTTCTTGTATGCCCAGTTGTGTGTAGACACTGTGGAATGTAATTCCTGTATGTGTTGTTTATGTTTCTTTTAATATATTTTGCTAGTTGTGCAGTTTGAATGGCGTATTATACCTCACATTTCAGTGTTTATTTTGTATTTTTAATGTAAACTGTCTCTTAATATGTGGCCATGGACAGCAGATGAAAATTAACCCTTTCAGCTAACTCTGGTTCAGTTTTACAGTTCTGTTGATGTTTATTAATGGCCATTGTCCCTGACAAATAAATTCATAAATAATATGTATAAGCATCTTTTTCCCTTCTCCTGCAAAGTTATTTTATTAATTATTTTGTAGATGCATGTTTTTTTTGTTTGTTTTTTTGGACAATGTGTAAATAAATTCTTCTGATTGACAGTTTTTTATTATGTTTTATTTAGTAAGCTGTCCAGGTTGAAACACTCATAACTTCAGTGTGAAATGGCATGGCTAAGCTGCTACTGGCTGAATGTGCAGATATATGTATTGCATTTATTTTTGTGATATCATGGATTGGACTTTCACATCTCTGCTAAAACCCTTTCTTTTTTCTTCTCTTCAGTCTTCTTTTTTTTGACACTATGTAAAGGGTCCCCAGGTTTGTGAAAGGCGCTATATAAGTTGAACTTATTATTATTATTATTATTATCGTGTGGTCTGGGGTGTAATGGGTAAATTTTGACAGTTTAACTAATTTTAGATGTTTAGATACATCAAACCCTTTTAATTCAAAGAAATGAGGTAAATGCATTTAAGTTTCTAAACACTTTATTGTTTTATTGTTGTAAATCTGTTTTTGATTAAACCTATAGTTTGGTTCCTGTCCCCTTAACCATTGCACCACTGCATCCTTTTGGTTTTTCCATTTATCCTGAGAAAAACATGATGCAGTTTACACACCTACTGCAGCTCAAGCTGCTGCTTTCAGCTCCTCCACTTGAAGGCACTATAGCATTTCACTTATGATGCGAGACAATGAATGAATCAATAACTCGAGTGCTCTCTAAATGTAACATGGTGCCTCTGTCCAAAAATACCCGAAATTAAACTAGGACAAAAAATATTGATGCAGATTTGAAAGAGGAGGGAAAAAAACCACAGCCTGCACTTTCCAAAAGCAGATAGGCCAAACTAGGCTTAGCTATTGCGAGAATTAAAATGCTTAAATAATAATTAACAGAAAATTTAAACTACAAGTCCACATGAACAGATTTAGGATATACAGTAGGATGCAAAAGTTTGGGCACCACTGGTCAAATGACGTTTTGTTGATATTCTAAGTGAAAATAAGTTAATCCTCTACAGACACACACTTCACATTTTAATGCACAGGTACTGTTTATTTGCTGAATTTAAGGTATCGGGGAGAAAAAAAAGACAATGTGCAAAAGGTATAACACATTTATATTTAACGCCCCCCCCACATATGTTCCAATAAATAGAAACTGTGAATTAAAATGTGCAAAAAATGGCATATTTAAGTATGTTTTCTGTAGATGCATTAACTTTCTCTTAGAAAATCAACACATAATTTGATTGAGGCCATTCAAACTTCTGGATATGACCGTATATCATTTTAAAGCTAGTTCATGATCTCTTTGATAATGCATGATTCAAAAGTCCTTTGAATAGTTTGTGAAAATACAGCCAATTTACTGTGTAAGAAAATAAGCACACTGATCCCCAGCAAAATACCTTCCCCTTTGTTTATTGGTAAAATTACAAGTACAAGATTTTTTGTTGTTTTTTTGTTGTGCCCCCCATCTAATGAATCCCACAAAACTGTTTGTCCAGACCCTGTTAAACTGGGCCTGGGCTGTTGCTCTCCTTTGTTGTGCTAATTCACAAGAGATGGAGAAAATGTTGGTCAAAAAAAACAAAAAAAAACAAAAGAGACCTTTTTTAAGAAAAAGAAAAAAATATTTTAAAGAGAGAGAAATAAAGTCACAGAAGACAATAGACAGCCAGTGCACTCAGAGAGACCTTCATTACAAAAATCATTTCACAGAAGAAGAACATCTTCACAAACAGAAAGAAAGAAGAAAAGACGATTGATCCGTTTTTGGGAAGGTACTGTATTGATAATGGCTAGTGATTGGGTATACTTTCGCAGAAGAAATGGAAGAAAAAATACAGAGTACAAATACAGCAACATAGTTACCTTTTTCAATACACAAATTGTGATTTGGTCAGAGGAGGCAAATGTTGTCTTGCATTATCAATGGGTTTTTTAACGCGAGGTTTGTTGACTGAATATTTCAAAAACATCTCATTTCGTTAATGCTAAAAGACACTGGTGTTACGACGTCCGTTAATGCGTTATGCATATACAGTCTGACATCTCACATGTAAATGATTTGGGGGGGAAAACTAGCCTATGAAATCATATTCATTATTCATTAGTTCCAGAGTAGTGGTAGTCATAATAATAATTACAATAATAACAACAATAGTAATAACCAAGAATAATACAGAATCTACAGAACTGCTGAGCATGAAGGGAAAACATAGCCTCTTGTCCCCTTTCTCTCGTTTTCCACTCCCTTGAGAAGTGGAGCGCCCTTTTTGGGCGTAGTGGCCCAAGAACAACTGACAAGAAGTCAGAAGAGCAGAAAAAAAAAGAGAAGAACTCAGTATTCTAGGTGCTGTAACTTCCACCCAGAGAGCGAGATCATCCGAGTTCAAACATTAAAGATTAGACTGAACTCACGGGGGATAGAGAGAATGAGGAAATAAAGTGGAAGAAAGCTTGTTTTCCCCTCCTGCAGCACTTTTGATTTTCTTGCATGAATACAGACTAGAACAGAACTTTACAGCTCCGCTTAGGTGCGATAGAATTGATCGTTGTTTTCCCTCCTTGTTCCCCAAACGGCATGTCTCTTTGTTTTGGTGGGGGCGTAAATGTTTATTGTTTACAGCAATGCCAGTCGACTGATTCTGAAACACAGGTCTTATGGAGGAGTCTGTCTACTGGCTGGAGGGATAATTGGTCAAAATATTTACAAGTGGTTATGAATATCAATGGCCCCTTTGGTCAGTTCAGTAGTAGAATCTGCTGGGCTGCTGATGTACATCACAGTCTAACTGACTAGATTTTCCAATTAGGCTGTGAATAGACATAACTGTCGAACTATGAGTTGGTACTGTGTTGATAATGTGTCTGCGTTGATCCTCGGCCGTATTTGACAGATGACTGGTTGGATGCTTAGTTCCCGCCTCCACAGCACTGGCCGGATCTGCCCTGAGGTGCTGCCTCCTGCAAGTCAACTCCTCCTCTAGCTCGCCCACCAGGCCCTGTCCCACCCTGTGGCTCGTTCTTCGGAAGCTTCTTAGCTAAAAACAAAAAAACATTGTTAGAACATTGAGCAAATTAATAGGAACATTTGGGGTCCAAAGCTAAATTTACAGAATTTTCCTCTTACCCCTAATGTAGTCGATCAGCCAAGACGTGCTGGGTGTCTAAAGTTTGCTTCTTCAGTTGTGCCCTGGAGCTACGGGCTAAAGCAGCTAGCAAGTAATAAGCTGTTTATGCTGTGCCAATTTTTATTTGTTCATTTTGAAGAAGAAACGCTCATTGTGTCTGTGTCCTCAAATAACGTGTACAATGTGAACCCCTCCCAAATTATCACAATGAACCTCACTGAATTGTTAAGACTTAGTATTTTCTGAAACTGTATCACATAGCAACAAAAATGAACAAACATATGAACAAACATCAGGCTTCAAGATGCCTGCTGCTATTGTTCTGAGCTATTTGTAGGTAATTGACTTTTGTAGGTAACAGTATGTCATGCAGTGTCACAAACCACATAAACAAGTCTATTTAAGATCGCATAACCACCTCATGTGGTTTCAAGCTAGTGAGTAATGATAAAAGGCATCTAGTTCGCATGATGCTAACCAGCAGCTATAAGCTTCCATTACCTGTTAGCTGCATTAGCCTCGTAGCTTCAGTGAACAATTAAAGAAGCAAATTTGACACCAAGCATTGGCTGATCCACTACATTTGGGGTAAGGGGGAAAACCAAACTAGATTTTTTGGCCAAACTATAGCTTTAAGCCTTTACTTTGCTTCATGATGGCCACTGCTTACCGATGGCCATGAAGATCTCGTTGACATTCATGGCGGTCTTTGCAGAGGTCTCCATGAACAGCAGACTGTTGTCATCCGCGTATGCCTGTGCTTCCTGGGAAGACGTGTGTAGAAGTTATAAACACTTAAGCATGTTTGCTCCCTGATCCAGGCGCTTTCCTGCTTGCCTTTCTGTTTCTCAGTACAACAAACATGCACACATACCTGGAAGTCAACAGCTCTCTTGTTGGCAAGGTCAGCCTTGTTTCCAGCCAGAGCAATGACAATGTTGGGGCTGGCCTGTCTCTGTAGCTCCTTTACCCAGTTCTTTGCTCGAGTGAAAGTGTCCTGGAGTTAAACAATTCAAACGAACATGGTTAAATAATAATCACAGAAACAATAATAAACTATATTTATATAGCATCTTTCAAATGTTAAAATTTGCCTCAAAGTGGAAGAGACACTAAAAAAGCTTATGAGACTTAACAGATATTGAGAGAAACAAAAAATAATGAACAAACACCAACTGACCAGATTCAAAATACTTATACTACTGCTTAGAATCAAAGCTTCCAGTAATATAAAACCAACACTTTTGCACAAACAGTATTGTGCAAAGTTCAGAGACCCTTTTTTTTTTATATCCATTCAAAACTTCAATTATTTACAATTTTATAAGATAATCCATTTGCATATGGAAGGGGAATGTGTAGCTGTCAAAAAGCTGTTATAAGAAAAGGAAACAAACAAAACAGAAGGAAATTTTCAAATGGACTGTCCACCTTAGAGTCCAGAGAATGTGTTTGGATCGTGAGAAGCAGAAAATGCAATCAACTTCTAAGACTGAACTTTGGAGGTGTGGAAAAAGATCCCTGCATAATTCTTTGAAAAACTGTGAGCCTCCTGTAAGTTTCCTAAAATGAATGGAAGCTGTAATAAAGTCAAAGCGTGGACACACTAAATATTGTTGCCAAGTACTTTTACTGTCTTCAAATTTCTTTCCCCTGACGCTGAAATATGAACTTATACATAATGTACAAGTTAAATAAATGAAGAGTGGTCGCTGACGTTTGCACAGTCCTGTACATGTATAAAAACATTATAATGTGCTAGTCCTGTGCAACTTCATATGACTAAGAAAGATGTATAACAATAAGAATGAAATTATGATTAATAAATTAACATCCTGAATGCCTTGTATTCCAAGTGCTGATCAAATCTCAAGTAAAAAGTACCTGTAAAGAACTTAGTCATGCATACAATTATTATCTGCAACTACAACATCAAATTTTCCTGATCATAGTGGAACAAAATGTAAGCGATCACACCGAAACTGCACAAGAGGTTTAACAGCTGTTGTTCCAATGACTCTATGCTCTAAATCAACTACTGCAAACGCCAGCAGGAAATGTGAGTAAGTGTTGAGGATTGCTTCTGTTCTCTGAGCAAAGGTCTTTCTTTACCACAGTGAATTATCAACCCTAGCAATCAGTCAGCTGAAGGCTTACTACGCACACCATTCTGCTGAACACAAGGTTACACATCAAGAGTTTATAGAATCTGTGAGTCTGTGTGTGTCTTAAGGCTATTATGCCGCTTATAAAGGAACTTCAAGGCTGATCACCTGACTAGCATTGTGCCACTAGAAAATAATTGGTCCTACATCTGACAAGTATGCAGCATGTACAACCTTAAAATTCCTGACTGGATCTACTGAGAGAGTGAATGTGTGCTTTGGAAGAAATAAATTACACAGGCAGAATATCTCACATTTCTCGCTGTAAAAACTTGTGATATCATCAGTACTTATCCCTATCAGTCAAAGTCCAGCACATATTTTTCTATAGCAGAATGTCATTCTGGTTCAATGTGTCAGCAAGCATGACAGATTTACAATCAGGCCTTAAATGCTCATGAACACAATCATACCAGGTAGGGACAGCTGATAGTGTTTCGTATGGCTCAGAAATGCAGGACTATTCCAATAATTCTCAAACAAACATAATTGAAATGAAGGAATGAGTGAATCAGCACTAATAAACACATCAAAATAATATATTATGTTGTACCCCTGGTTGAAAAGTGAAAGATCTTTTTGGGGTTTGAATTGATATTTAGCAGATATAATTGAAATAATAGCAGATAAACAGTGAGAGAAAAATCATCGGCCGTGTGGAACTATTTCACAGTTCCTACAAGGAACAACAGACAAACTATTTATAGTCTCTGTTCATCCCAAATACCAAAAGAGTGTGTGACGCTCAAGAACTTCTCCACTGCAGGTTTGAAAGGAAAGGCAAATCTCCACTGACATGCTGCTGCAATCTGCAGCCTCAGTTTTTTTTTTAAATCAATTAATATGTGACAGTGGCAAAGTGCAAGATATATGTAAAACATAATGAAATTCATTGCCTTGAATGACCAACTGTTCTCTACGGTGAAGGATGTTGGATTTCATGGCACTTATTTCATAACCTGCATACTGTAATAATTTTTGTAAGTTTATGTAAACTTATTTATTGTAAGTGCGGTTTCGTCCTATAGAAAACAGATTTTATCAATAATAATCTTTATTATAGTGAAGTTTTATGTTTAGCATATTTCTTCCAAAGCACTAAAAAATTATGAATAAATAAAAAACAAACAATTACACAATAAAACTTAAACTGGTTTTGCTTTTTGGCCTGGTATGTCTTGAATTTCGATTTCTGACAGGAATTTTCATTTTGGTGCATCACTTAAGTTGTTCATCTAAACTACAATTTTCACTTAATATATTTGGATTCCACAAAAAACTAGTTCAATTGCTTGTTACCACATGAATTCTTTGTTACCACATAATTCTTAGAACAAACCATTTTTACAGTGTATTAAAACTAACAAAAAACCTGTAATGCATATAAAATGTAAATTTAAGATATCTAAGTATAACAATACATTTAGCCTGCGATTCGATCCAGTCCTCGATACTGGATTCACAACTGCAACTTACTAACACTAGAGCTGGGAGGAGCGCTGGAGTGAGTTGTTGATTGGTGCTGACCGTTTGCAATTTTAGCATTCAAACACTGCAACTGCATTAGATAAAATAAATAACAGAATGTCCATTCTAAACAATGCACTGTCACAGTTTTGCACTGCGATATTATGTTATCACAATGCATTGTTACACCGCTAACCAGATGTCTAACATTTAGTAGTTTAATCTGACAGTCACTACCTTAGTGTGTGTTTTCGTGTCCTTGTGTACACATGATGATGTAGTGGATGTGTGTTTGTGTGTATTTTGTGCTCTTACTGTGTTAGTAATGTCGTAGACTACGATGGCAGCCTGGGCTCCTCTGTAGTACATTGGGGCCAGGCTGTGGTATCGCTCCTGCCCGGCTGTGTCCCAGATCTCAAACTTTACCGTCGTATCATCCAAACAGACTGTCTGTGTGAGGAATGCAGCTGCAGAGACAGAAGAAAGAGGACAAAGAGAGAACGAGAGAGAGAGAGAAAGAAAAAAATAGATAAAAAGTTACAGATACGAAATGATGGTCAACATATGCTGCTTAATTTCAATCCAAAACAACATTTATGATAGTTTTAAATTCACTCTCTGATGTTGGATGAATGCAAAAAACAAAATGTCACAAGCAAACTGGGCCATTCAATTTTATCCTGACTGACATGCAGCCACATCAGGCCCAATCACTGAACGAGCCTTTACTATTGAATGAATAAATACATTTGAACTTTCTGACATACTTAAAGTACAGGGATGGGCAGAAACGAGTTCCATTTACTCTGTTATACGCACTTTCATTTTGCTCAGTTTAATTCTGGTCCCTAACATTTACTTACAAATTTCTTTTTGTGTTTAATTTCATTATATTACATTTGTGATAGCAACTGCACTACTTTACTATCAGTCACATTTGCGACATTTGACCTTTATCTTACACCAAGAGTGCGTCAAAAACAGAAGAATAGATCCTAACAAATTTCACTTCCTATGCTGACAGATGCTGGATATACTAAGAAGTTCCACTGCAGCTCTACAAATTACTCAGTTCTCAAGTAGTTTTTGGACCTGCTACATTTGTACTTCTACTTAAGCTGTTTTTTGGAAATATACTTTTAGAGCTGAAACAAATATTCAACGTAATCAATAACGTCAACAATAAAGAATAAGTCAACAAATATTTTTGCCACAGATTTTTCACTGACGTCCCACCTAAAGTGAGTTAATGGCTTAACCTAATGAGGGCAGCAAAAACACTTCTAGTAAGAATTAGTGTCCAGAAGCATTTTCTTAAAAGAAAGGATAAAGTAGCAACATTTGCAAGTACGACTTGGCTTCTTACAGAAGCACAAATGTTACCTTGGACCACCAAAGGAGCACACCGGCCAGCACAGAACATTGCCAAACATTTTACTATTAAAGCTCTTCAGACTGATGCTGATTAATGAGTTATCAATTGATTAATTCACAAGAATGTTTGCAGCCCTAGATACTACTACTTTTATTTGATTGCTTATGGCACCAAAGGTTGTTGTCCAGTGGGTTTTTAGTTGCAATCACCCACCTGTTTCACCAAATTGCGTCATGTTTTTGCACACCCTATGTTTGTAGTACATGACTAAAAATACCCAGATGACTTGCAATACACGTACCTTCTCTGCTTGTGTAAATCAATCTGCTTGGGACGAGCCCCAGTAATATACAACAGCATTTCTTTTAGTTGAAGATGATTTTTTTTCCTACACTGTTTGACAGGTAGGGCTTAACCTCACAAGACTACAGTCATATTGGTTGTGACTAGGGAGGTGCTGCAATGACAGAGAAGCTGTAAAATAAATAAATAAAATAAAACACTGCTACTGTCAAAGTGAGAAGGAGAAAAGCCTGGGGGAAAAAGTGTTAAGACAGATGGGCGAGTGAGTTTTCAATCCAACTGAACGTATGAGTCCAGAGTCAGCAGGTCTGCTCACATGACCACAGCACACATACATTTAACCACAGCAGTGAGCCCTGCAACCTCTGACCCACCTGCTGACAGGAATGAAATATTAAAGGGAAAAAAGAAAAAAGTTCACTGGACGAAAAAAAGTGCTGACTCTTTCCGTACTCTTGGGCTGATGTAAGCATGTGGTATCCTGTCCACGAATTTTCTCCCTCACTCCATCTCTGCTCTCTTCCATTGTAAGTCAAATAAGCTGACTGGACATAAACTGGTCAGAGGCGAACAACTCCACCATTGTCAAATGGCCACTTCATCAAGAGAGGCAAGTCTAGAGGATTTCTTGGAACAGATCACTTTAATATTAAAAGATGGTAAGAATATTTAAAAAAATAAATAAATTAAAAAAAAAAAAAACCTCCAAAGACGGTTTACTCTGGAAATGTGCACAAGCATGCTAGCACACATGCACACAAATCCAGGAAATCCCATTGTCAGCCTGCTTCCTCTTCTCTCAGCCGAGCCTGAGTAACTGCTTCCTGTCAGCTCTCTCGCAGGGAAAACGTCAGCTCATTTTCTAATGACATCACATAGGAGTAAATAACTTACAAAATTGTGGGCGTCAAAGCTGCACTTCCTCACGAAGCCGAAACTTCTGTTTAGATCCCATTTTGTTGAACGGGCAGACATATCATCTAGGGATGCACCAGTATCAGAATTGTGGGCCGATGCCAAAGCCTAAACATCATATAATGCAGGAATTGGGACCTCCAACTGGATAAGCATTACGAAGAAAAAATAATTATTTCTGTAGGATTACAGATTAGGGGTGTGCACAGGTACTCGGTTACTTGTTCAACCATTCAAGGTGCCAGGATTCAAATACTGAAATCACTAATAGTGTTACAGTGTTATACATACTCATTCTGTCTCAGCACAGGAAGACACAGAAAACAGAGACTAGCAATTCAGTTAAATGTCACTTATATTTTAAAAGTAAAGCAAAATGTTACAATACTGTACATATACGCGAGTAAGTATTACATGTTGCTACTTTGAAACATGCTAACTTTACTGCTAACTAGACTAACTACTCTAACTGATATTAACTATGCCCAGAAACAGAGGAAATATATTTTTGACAAACTAACATTTTGGCACATTGTCCACAAATGATAAAGTCGTCATCAGCATCCAGTTTTGCACCAGGTAGCTTTGGGTTTTGCTTAAAACTGAACAGAAAATCTCCGTTATTCATCCAGCATGAAAACCAATGTTCCTCAGCTTTTTTTGATTAATAAAACATGTTTCTATATGTATTCGTCTGCTTGCAGCTAACTTTTTGCACTGTTTTTAACACCAGCGCTATCACATTAAAAAGCCTCTGGTCATGCAGTCCTTTCAGTCACTTTGTTTCTTCCCTGTGGTTAACCAAATATCGGTTTATTACTCCTGCAGACCTTGAATATTCAAATTAGTCAGAACGAACACCCCTATTACAGATGCAATAAATAAAACAGACCTTTTGGCACAGTAGCGCAATGTCACCTTCTAGAGTAAATAAGAAATCAAACAGTGCTTTTTAAAATACTATTTGATATCATCACACATTTCTAATACCATTGCTGTCATTACCCATTTTTTTCTTTATACCTTTTAAAAATGCCTGCTGCCCTTTGCATTATGTGAACATTTTATGACTAACAGACTAACAGACCAACAGAAATTCCAAAAAGCCAACGTCTGCCAGATACTGTCTTTTTTCCTTTCCCATATAAATGTACCATATTGATATGAGGTTCTGTTATGACCAGTGTTTGGGCAAATATTAAAAAAAAATACAAATTGTGTTTCTCAAAGATGACTTTTTCCAGGAGGTAATAAGTAATCTCAATACTCATTACTTTGCTTCTAAGTCACTCTCTAAAATCCACACAAATCTGCAACAACTGGAAAGTACAAGGAAAAAAACTTTTTATTAGAAAGAAAGAGACAATCGCAAAAAAACATCATTTAAAAGGCCTGTCATGATCCCTGCCCTTACTTTGAACACACAGCCTGTTATGCTTGACTAAACTGATGAACGGCTAAAGGTGTTTGAAAACAAAGAACCAGTTAGTAGAAACGGTTCAAAACATAATATACCATAATACAACCTTTATGAAAAGAAAACGTAAATCTTATAGAGCTGTTTCTGGATTAAAATTAAGGCCTGCTTAGCTGAAGTCTGGACTCTCTATTAGCTCAGGGATCTTCATCCATTAGTTATTTATTAGTACAAATCCTTCAGCAGAGTGCTGCTGAGTTCACAACGCTTTTGTTTTTCCGCATTCTTGAAAAACTGACAAACACGACATGTTCCAAAAAGCACATCATCATGATGAAATGTATCACAATAATGATAAAACATTGTCATATTGCCCACCTTTAGTCAGCTGTAGCACACAAGCACACATTACATACAAGGACAGGTATAGATCATCTATGTAGAGGAAATGTGTGTTTTAAATGTACTGCTTACAATTAACATTGTTAATTACTATCAAGACACATGACTAAGTCAGTAACTGTAACTGCAAGAATTTATAATGGAATGCATTACAGTACTTCACTACAGGGAAATGTAATCACGTTACTGCAACATGGTATTTTGTACCGCATCACCACCAACTCTAGTTATGAACTCAAATATACTTTGAACATGATGTGCAGGATACTATGATAAGCCTACGCAGTGCATTAACATTAGAGATGTGCATTTTGCTCATGCTAAATCATCATCTGCTAGCCTGGTCAATACAGGCACTCAGATAAGGTGACTCAGCAGTAGCTTTGTTTATTAATGTGCATTTTCTTCCCACTGTGGCTCTTTAATGTATTAATGAGGCTGAAGTTCTTATCCCAAACAGTCAACAGAGAAAATAATAATATGAAAAAAACCTTCAGCCACGGCCAAAATGTATAAAGTAGGCTAAATATTTCACTTTGTTTTCCCAACCAGGTGCAGAAGAGAACTCACACATCAGTTCACCTATATATCCCAATATCTGTTAAAATGCACTGTGTGAACTTCCCCTATTGGATTAAATGTCATGCCACAATACACTGGCTGTCCTTAACGAACACTTTAAAGGGTAACAAAACCTGGCAGTTTACAGGACACTGCTCCCACCACCTTTTCATTTCTGAGAAATTCTCAAAATACTCATGGTGGAGAATGCTGATCAGATAGTACTCAAGCAGATCTCTGTATAATCTCTATATAGACAAACTATCAGCCCCCTGTGGCTAACAGTAACTTTCACATATGCACCTTTATGCAGGAATTCAGCTGTAATATAAGGTATATTACATTACACATTATTCCTGTTGCTGCCCCTTTCATACTATAGCTAGTCTGAATACTAGAGTGGGATTCATGTGATGGTCAGGTGACTGAGGAAACCAGATTTTCTGTCTCTGATCTGGATAAGGCCTCAGATAAAAAGGACATAAAGCAAGAGGCAGTGCAGCTACACAGGAAATCCTTGTATTTTATTTTAGTAAAATAACATGCCCCATAAATCCACATTTAAATGTACATTTGAAATATTTCCCTTGTGTGCATGTAGCTATATTATGCCTTAATCACTACTGTGACATTGGCTCTTACAAAAAAAGAAACATGCTTTTATCAATTTACAATGCATAAAACAAAGTGCTTGCAATTGTAATACAAGTAGCTATGAGTATTACATTACTTTTTGTTTTGCACAATAGTGAATGATGCTTTCGTAATTTTGTATTTTTTTAATATTTGCTTAAAGTCGAGGTTCTGTTTCTGTTTACAAAAAAAAACGCAGCAGGTCCAGTTGGAGATATTGATTTTAGTTGAACTAATTCAGGCATATTTCAAATTTAGTCTTTAGAGGTTCACCAGTGTGTTTTAATACATTGCAATGATATCACAATTGCAATATGTAGCAAATATTATCACAATATCAAAATGTATTGTGTACATATAATGTGTAAAACAACTGTAATATCAAGTTAACCAGAATACTGAACTGTAGTGTCAATTCCTTCTTTTAAACATGAGTTATAATTACAATACAGTTATAGCTACTGCGATTATATGCACCTTGTGGACATCTGGGTAAATCTGCCTCCTTTTTTGTTTTTCAAAATTCATGTTTATCGTGAAAACCTACAATATAACAACGTGATGTTTCCCCACCCAATATTCAGTCTTAAAGCATGAGTGACATCAATAATTCAATGAATAATGACATTGTCAAAATTGGGTTCAATCTTTTATCTCCACATATACACATAGAAATGCACACAGCAGCCTCACCTCCGATGGTGCTCTCCTGGTACTCATGGAACTGGCCCTTGACGAAGCGTAGGACCAGGCTGGATTTGCCCACAGCTGACTCCCCTAGTAAGACCAGTTTAAACTGGCAGATTTTGTTTCCGGCGGTGGCGGCGCCATTGGTTCGCGCCGGTCCTCCTCGCCCCGTCATGCCGACAGGCCGACCAGAAGAGGAGAGGTCTGGCTGGGCTACACCCGCTGCAGGAGTGGGTCACAGGACGGAGAGCACTGGAGCTCAGCGCAGAAAAGGACCAGGAAGATGAGTAAGGCTGATGGATGGAGAGGATAACACCAGGACCAAGAGAAGCCAGACAGCTGATGAAGGGATGGCTGTTGCTGGAGGAGCAAAACTAGAAATAGACAAAGGAAAATGTTAGTCTCAATAGAACACTTAAAAACAGAAAAAAATCTTTACCTCTATGCATATGGAGAATATGCTGTAAAAATGTTAGCAACATCAATTTTCATCAATTTTGCCTCAAACAAATGCAGACATGACTGAAAACAATCCTCACAGTAGGGCTACAGCTATTGATTATTTCTCCAGTCAACCTTTTTCTATAATAGACCTATCAGCCATTGTTCAATTAATCGTCCATCAAAACCTATTTTGGTCCACTACCTTATCATTTCTTGGTGCACCTAAACAAAAGCTGTGATATTTTATCCTATTAGCATTTCGCTAGCTAGCTTATTTCGCTTGTATTATTAATTGCAGTCCGGACACAAAACGATCTAGAGGGATTTGAGTGGGTTTCAGAGGAGACATGCCCTTGTTAGCAGCAGATTTCAAAACAATCCAGCACCAAAAGTTTAACAAGATGTCCAGAGATGTGCATTCTTGTTACTAAATCACCTCTTGCCCCTCGAGTCTACCCCCCGCTTGCTACATCCCTGCTCAAACACATCTGAGCCATCTAATCAGCTAATTAACACGTCCTTCCTGAGTTGAACTGGGTTTGTCAGTCCAGGGAAAACACCAAGACGTGTCATTTGCTTTCAAAGTAAACATTTAAAGCAAAGCTTAAAGCATCTAGCTTCATTTATGATAAACATGGGATGCCAATCAGTTTAGCTGTTGACTAATCTCAGTGTACTTATCAGTGACCCTTTTCTAAATGAACTTAGCAGTATGATAAGCTGGCGAATAAGGTCTTGGTTTGAGCTGTAATTGTGAGCTGGTTTATTTTTGAAGCGGCAGTCTGTTTGTTATTGGAGTGACACACAGACCTAAATTGAGGTGTTTACATAGATGGGCAGAAAACAGTGTAACTCATCGTTTAACACTGTTTACCTTCTCGGCAATGAGCAAATAGAGCCTGGTGATAAAACGCCCTTGGGAGCAAAATCGTGATGCAGCAACAGAATGGCTTTATCAGCTTGTTTTTCTAGGGTCTTTGAAGCCAAATCCAGAGTTTAGTGGTTAATTAGACAGCAGGTCACAGCATTTGCTGCACGCCTGAACCAATATCCCAAGAGAGAAAAATAAAACTTTTTGTACTTACTCTGCTAAAACATAGTTGTACTAGTAAAGTACAAAAATAAAGTGATGAAAATCATTCATTTAGGAAAGGGTTATAAAAGCTTCGTCCAAATAAAAGAGCACTTTTTTAATTAAAATAATATGCCTCAACATTACACATAACTACATGGACTGAAGTAAAGTGGATTTAAGTGGCCACTGCTGAAAAACATGTTGAGTCATTATTTCAGCGCAAATGGCCTGAACAATGGTCTGGCGCAGGATAACCCTGAGCTGAGTGTTCTTTCTGCTACAACAGACCCAGTAATGGGGCAAAGGCAGCAAATGGAGAAAAGAATGGAGGCTGGATTCACCCTGGCGGCAGTGTAACATCCAATATCGCTGAAGCATGATTACTGAGTTCAACGGGGGGAAAAAAACAGGGCCACATTACAGAGACAGTGGGACAATTCTGTAATGACTTCAGAACGCAGCCACTGGCAGGACTCATAAATGAGTCTGCAGGAAGCAAAATTAAAGTGAGCATTAGGGGCATAATGAAGGAAATCATTAGGCCTTGGTGAAAGAGGGAGATGAAGCAGTTATCGCTGGCACCAGGTCCTAAGGTTGAGCCTAATCCCCAGCATGTGACAGGAGTTTAAATCTCTAACTCGATCACATGTTATTTTCCCACCAGCAACTGGCTGACTTATTTGCCACTGGTCTCTAAACCTGTTACAGCACAAGGGTACACATTTATCTGTTTGTGGTGCCAGTATTCGAATACTGAGTGTTATACCGTGCCTCTCAAACTTAAGTGGGTGAAAAGTGAGTGCCATGCCAAGGATGCACTGCGAAGGACACGGCAAGGAAGGCAGAGCATGCGCCGTATCACTAACTACTCTAGCTAAAGTTAGCTAGGTCTAAAATGAAATGTAACATTGCCCACTGGGGAGAATATACTTTGTGTAAAAGACAATGAGTCCTCAACGTGACACTTGTAAGCTCTGTTAGCTCTCTAGCTCATCTGAGGAGCCACCCATCAGCTGTTTTATGCAACACAAAAACCAACCAATTTCCCTCTGCTGTTTTTGAATCATAAAACGTGGTGTAGTGTATTTCTCTGCATGCTGCTATATTTGTGTGTAACACCAGTGCTGCCACCTAAATCGTCTGCAGCCCTACTTTGTTTCTGACCAAAGTCTGTTTTTTTCTGCCATTGCATCTTCTTTCTTGCAGGATATATTTAATGAATTCTTACGGATATTTGACTATGAAATTCAATGAATACAAATCTCTAATTAGAACTTTTGTTATTTTCATCAAGATGTGTCTCAATAAATGTTTTAAGTGTGTTTTATTTTCATGCATTTGCCACAATCCAGCTGATGAAAGAACACCCACACTCTATTGCAAAAACAATAACCGTGGAAAATAAGTACAGTCATCTTAAGTAGTTGTAAACAGGTGATTATGTAATAACAGTGACAGACCCACACTCTAGTAGGGCTGCACAATTAATCATATTAAACTCACAACCGCAGTTTGTTTCTCATTGCAGTTTTTAACAATGACAGTAATAATAATAATAAAATTATTATTATTATTATTATTATTATTATTATTTTGTTTTATTTTAAGAAAAAAATGACTGTCCTGAAGAAATTTACATGTGTGTAGTTATATCTGAACAATATTTTTAAAAGCAAATATTTGTTTGGAACACCACAAACTTCTTTTGGGAAAGGGGAACTTTGAGTCCATTTACTGAATTGGGCAAGTTGGGTAAAAAGTTAATGTTGAACCGTGACTGAGCAGCCCAGTACCTTTATTTACTTCTTAGAATTACTAAAATTATGAGTTATTTTATTTAGAAAGCAATTTACCTATGCTTTTTGTAATAACTGTGAAAAATGTACATTTGGACGCCAAAAAAAAATGCGTGATTATCAGATTAACTAGATTCTAAACTAAGAATGAGGAAATAGTCCACAAAAAGAGAACAAAGGTGTTTGTGTTTCTGCTAAGTTAGTAATAAGGAAACAGACACTAGCCTCTCATTCTAATTAGAGATGGCATGTTGGTATCAATGCATACTGCTACTACTGATACTATAGATATCAAGAAAGAGAAAAAAAGACAATCAAATTTAATGTTGTAACAGATCTAGCCTAAAACAGCACTCACATTACGTAATACGCGTCTTGTTGTTAGCAGTGTATTTCTTCCTGTAGGGTAGTACAGTGTTTGAGCACAGTCCTTGGAAGCCCCCTAACCCCCTACGGCCACCCAAGGATATTTAATCCCATTTTAACAATATCTAATTTCCTTTTCACCCCATTCTGACAAAGTCAAGAGTCAAGAGCAAGAAAAAACACCAAACTGTGCTGGGCGCCGACCCGCAGTTCCTCACCCCTGACATAAATCTTTAGCCAAGTCTATAGGGGGCTTCACATGTAAAAATAAAAAAAGGAGGTTTAATAATGACTTAATGCCTCATTGAACAAGCCAAAGAAGCAAATAAACACTATGAGGAGTTCAGATACCCATACATCCAAATAGGCCTGCATGATATAGACATAATACTAGTACTGTGATTACATTGCTATATATGCGGTTGTGATATGCCTTACAATATGTTAAAACACACTGGTGAATCAATGATGTGACATGATTAAAAATTAGCCTGCACTATTTTGATTTCTGTTGATTCGCATAAAAACATCCACATAAACAGTAATGTGGAACTTGGTCAAGATGCTCAAAGCACACAGTCAAAAATACTTTTACATATTGCAGCCTCTCCAGTATAAGCACTGCACAGACCAACATCACAATAATGATTAACAACCAATATTTTGTGCAGCTCTACCGAGTGATTACAACGAAGAGAGCGATGGTTCATAAAGACCATGAATCAGGCTTCTGTCTCAATCTTTTGAAACCCCTATACATATGAAACCCACAGTGTCACATGCTGCCTGTTTTTCACACTACACTATAACAGAACCATAACAACGACTACAAACTAGCGTCAGCAGTGCGAACCAGACAGTCCATTTAAAACTCACCAAGGCTGCAGTCAAACCTGACATGGTGTTCAGATTCACTGACTTCACTTTCATAAAATTTCTTCAGCATGTTGTCCTGCACTGCGCAGGTTCCAAGCTAACCTTCACACCTTTGCCACTATATTAATGGATATTTAAGTACTTTCTGCTTTCATTCAATTGCTTATTTGGCCACTAACCCAGATGTTGCGCATCCCATTAGCATCAGATAAAGTGGATTTATTCATAACAGTTCCTGAGCTGATCAAAGTTCAAGCAAACCTCACACGGAAGCAGAATCCTCATTCCACAACAGAACAGGCCTGGGCGATAGGGCAATGTAATCAGATATCATTGATGATGGACAACTAACTCAACGGTGATGAGTAAAAGGCGATAATCTCATTTTGGAAAAAAAACAGAGTATTAGAAAAGACTAATTTACATATTTAACGGTAAATACGTTGGAAAATTGGGGTTCACATCTACAAAGTGTGCACAGGAGCGTCCTCCATTAGTCTGTTTTTGTCTGTATGAGAGAGAGACAGATAGTTTTATGAAGAATTTGTCTGTGTTACTGCTCTCTTCTACGCACTGTACTGCTAGCTTTACCTACTGCACAGCTCTTGACCTTCTACTTATTTTACATTAAGAATCTTGCAAGAGTGTAACAAAAATAAATGCCGTCATGCTTTGGAACTTCAACTTGTTTCAGTGTGACTCGCTGCAGTAAAACAACCTAAAGCTAAAATAGCTGGGTTTTACCCTACAGCAGTTAAGTTAAAGCCCAGGAACCAGTATCTGATAAAAGTAATAAATAATGTTAAATTTGTACACA